GGCTACTCAAATATTTTACGTTTTTGATACTAAATTAACTTCTGAAGTATAATTTTTTATTGTTTTTATATTTTTCAATATATTTATTTTGTTTGTACAAAATAAAAAAATAATTTTTAACGATACAATAGTCTTCGTTAGGCTTAACATCGACGAAAATTCAACGCAAAGCGACACGCAATGGAGAAAAATTTCAACACGGGATAAATTAATATATTTTTTTGTACATAATTGGTTATCCGAAAAATAAGTTATCCGAACAACCCCAGTCCCCAATTGATTCGGATAAACGACACTCTACTATACTTGCATTTTTACTGTACGAGTAATACACATACATAAGTGTGTAAATGCATATATGTTAAAGTAATTACAAAATAATTAGCAAAGTAAATATTTATTAAGAAAATATATACAAGAAAATAACTATATGCTTTAGAAAATCATAATAGTATATACAATACTTACCACTTTTAAATAAGGTAATTTGTTTAACGGGCGAAGAAGAGAAGGTTCAGATAAACAGTTATAACTTAAATCTAAATCTTCTAAATTTCGAAGATATTCCAAACCTAAAACAAATATACACACTATTATAATATCTTTATCAGATTGTGAACTTTGCCCTCTCTGATTGTTAAGTGGCAAAGGATTAGTTGAGAATTTTCGATTAAATCTGTTCTTTAATGTGCCTGTCATTATCTTTACATTCCATATTCTATCAATCCCTATTTCTAAATCTCTGTATTTGCCATGTTTCTGCGTGTCTCTTGGCACAACATTTGAATTGGCTGAAACTACATTGGCAGGCAGATTTATCTTTCCCTTTCACATAAGGACAGTATTTAGATGGTTTGCTAGGTTGATTCCATCTGTTGTTATTGATATATGCCATATAATAGTGATAACTTTCTAAAGCAGGAGTCGTCAAACTTTTTTGATCGTCGACCCCCTACTATTTTTTGAAACCTCACATCGACCCCCACCAAAAAGTTTGTGTTACAAGCAAAAAAAAAAGCTCTTACTATTTTAATATACTGTAAATCTTTTAATTCTTTTAATTTTACATTTATTGTATATATGTTAATAATAATTTTTGTAACTGACAATCAATGAGATGGATAAGCTTGATAATCCTTAGCAAGATTAACAATATTCAGTTCAAAATTTGTAAGTTTTAATCTTTTCATCAGGCCCCAATAATGTTATATCGACCCCTGGGGTCAGTATCAACCACTTTGATGCCCCCTGTTCTAGAGGGTAGTTTAGGGAATCCTTGAATCTAAATGTATCTTACCATACTAGACACTGAGTTCTGAACTGGAAACATTTTTAGTTACTGAAAATATTGAAGAAACTGCATCCCATGCTAACATAGTCCAGACTTAGCACCCTCTGATTTTTACATTCTTGGACCTATTAAACATTTTGGTAACTTACACTTCTGAAATGATCAAGAAGCTAAAGATGCATACGTAGACTTGTTCAAATCATTAAGTGGAGAATTTTTTCAGAAAATAATTTTTACACTCTTATCTTCTGCTGGAAAAAGTGTCTAGAAAAAATGGTAACTATGTAGAAAAATAGCTTAGACTGTGTACTTTCAAATGGCTAATTTAATATTTTAATGTAATTTGTTATTAAGCTGTACAAGAGATTGTATACTTTTGTGACCTACCCCATAGTGTAATAAAATGTAATATTCTTAAATAACTTCATTTGCAAATAAAATTTTTCTAGTGGTAACAACAAAACAATATCTGTCTACCTTTTAATAAGCAATTAATTACTAAATAATACTAATTTATTATAGATTATACATTATATAACATACCACCCAAGTCTTCAATCTTATTATTCCTGAGACAAAGTTTCTTTAGGGAGTCAAATACCTCGTAGTAGAATACTGGGAGACTTTCCAAAAGATTGTAGCCGAGATTCACGGCATTTAATTTATGAAGATGCTTAAAAAATAATAAAATGTCTATTATATTTATTTATAATATGAATAAATTTGTCAAAATCAACTAGCTATAAATATTATGATAGAATTAAAGATATATGTAAATACTGAATATTAATGAGTATAGGATTACTTTATTGAGGAAGAATTTAAAATTAAACAGATTGTAGAATGTTTGGTAAAACTACAGTTCTGAATAATGGGTTTGGATCCCCTCCCAAATTTTAGATTTCTTAGACAACTAAAAACTTCAAAAGAAACCATATCTCTAATTATGATCCTTGGCCACGTATCCGCCTCCAAAGTTTTTGCGTATTAAACACGCAATGAGCTTGATGGAGCATGGAGCACAACTCTAATCTTGCTCCAGAAGTAGTTGGTGAATGGCATTTCTCATATTTTATGAGCTTTTAACTATCTCTATTAAAGTAATAGTTAATCTTTAGCATTGTTTTGAGAAATAGTTCTGGATTTTTTTGAGTAATTTTCAGGGACTATATCTCGCAAAGAGTAACAAGTAGACCATTGCTTCCTTTGACTTTTATTACTCCTATGGGCACTATCTACAGTTCCAATAGAGTCCCAACTGCCTCATTCGGGAGCTACATTTGTACCAAATGTCTATTGAAAAAATTACATTAAAGTTAACAAACACAGTTAGCATCTTTGCTTTCATTGCACTTCCATGAAACTTTTGATCATCCCTAAATAAATCACGACAATGATGATGCACAACAATATATTAGTGTTATAAATGCAAACAAATAACAATTAACTGCAAAATAAATCTATTTATTAGAAACATGAGAATTACTTGAACATGTTGTAAAACATTTTCTTTTTTTATAAATATGAAAGAATTCCACATGGTGTTGGTCTAAAATTTCACTAAAATTCAGTCCTTAATGAAGACATTTCCAATTCTGCTAAACAGATTAATGATAAATAGCTTTCCGATTGGAAAATCAGTAGTTTAATTATCTAAATTTGAACCCAAATGCATAGAATTCATCGATTTTTCAGTTCAAATTTGCCCAATTGTAACTATTTTCTTCCAACTTATTATTAAAAAAATATCATTGAAAGCAATTATTTTTGTAAAGCAAATACTTGTTAAGTAAACATTTATAAGTATCAGAAATTACATAATTAACTTTGTTCATAAGAAGTTTTATGAGGCATATATCAAATATAATTTGATAACAACATACCTACCCAATATATTAGAATTACCAAATGATCTGCCAGACTTTTTATCAAGTGATATTCATACTAATTAGTGATTTGAAAAAAAGTTTGACTAGAGGTATTTAAATCATCTCTTGATAAATATAATAATTCTAACTAAATTTTAATCTTTATTTAGTATACTCTAGAAGAAAAAACAATTGTCCCAGTATGGGACTCAAACCTCCTGCAACTTCTGCTTGCCATACAGTTGCATTGCAAGTTACAGTATTTGGAACTCTGTCCAATCTTTGCCTCTGCAGCTATTAATCTATATATAACCACATTGATCACTGACGGAACCTCATTCACTAGTCTCACACTCATACTCACATCATGCCAGAGTTAAAGTTCACTGAAAGCCACAAAGGACCAAGAGCATTAATTCATACCCAATGCAAGTGACCAGTAAAATTATATCTAAATTAATTAATTAACAGTTCTGAATGCATAGATCGGAGGATGGTCTGGGTAGTTTAGCTAACAACACAACTGTGCATCAAGCAGGAGTTGAAGGTTTAAGTCCCACTCCAGGTAAATTCCTTACTTCCAGAGTATACCAAGTTAAAATTTTAAAAATTTATTTATTTATAATTATTAAATTTATCAATAGAATATAGCCTAACTGCCTACCTGTAATCAAATTACTTTATTTTGGGTCATTAATTAGTTTGAATATAGTCCAATAAAAATCTGGCTTGTTTGATAATAATTTGAATATAAATTGATATACACAAAATGCAAAATAATTTAAAATTCCTTCAATTCCAATCCCATATTTTGTACCAATACTTTTTGTCATCGTTGGCTGTTACTGTTAGTTAAGGATGACAAAATGTCAAATTCAATTTAGTACCACAATCAACATTATTAAATTCATATGTAGTTCCACAGATTAATTTTCATATCTAAGCATATTCTCCAACTCTGTGTTCTAAATCTACACCCACAACTGCTGTAAATAATTGGGCTATATTTTGGAAATAATAATTATGAATTACAAATTAATTTGGCACTAGAGGGAGGCATTAGGCAGCATCTCATATTAAAATTAATAATTATAATATTTAATTAATTAATTTAGAATAAATTGGAAGAAAAGAATCGATCCAAAGTGAGACTCAAATCTGTAACACTCGCTTACCATGCGGATGTATTGCCAATTACACTACCTGGACCTATAGCCCGATTATTTACAGCAGTTGTGGATGTCTATTTGCTAAGCATTGGGTTTCTGTTGGAGTTTATATTTCTTCTAAATATTTTTCAAGACTTATAAGATTTCAATTAGAACACAGTATGAGTTTTTATCTCAAACTTAACTGCATTTCTTAAGTTCTTAAATTACTTCTATAAAAAAAAAACAGTTTTTTATTTATTAAAATTAACTCACCTGAAGTCCATTGGTTACTCTTAATTTATTATGGCTTACATTCAAAGTTTCCAAATTTGGAAATAATTTCTGAAATTAAACAAAATCCTAAATTAGAATAATATTACATTTTTGTATTTTTCTGTGTGTTAGGGCTTTACAATTATTTGTGTTTTGTAGAATACTTTTACATCTAAAATTATAAGGTGAGTCAAAATTTCATGCACTTTATATGTACAAACTTCCAAATGGACAACCTCAACCTTGCAAATGATTTTGTATTCTTATCCTGAATAAATCTTGTCTTTCACTCACCTAAGTTTCTTTTATGATTTTACAACATTCTAATAATTCCTTAATGTTTCTTGGGAATTTTGGTGTATAACCAAACTTGTTTATTGAACTTTTTTTAATTAAACAATATGAAAAAAGTCAATTTTTCATTTTACTTCTCATTATAACCTATATTTTGTTGAAAATTTCTTTTTAAAAGTGAAATTTGAATTATTCTATTGTTTTGAATTTAAATTTCTCCAAATTATATATATTATTTAAATTTCTTACAAATTTAACATGAAATGTGTTAAATTTGTATGAAATTTAAATTCAAAACAATAGAATAATTCAACGTAACATATATAAACAACACAATCATATAATTGTAAATATTAGCCCAGATTATTATAGTTATTTTCATTATTGAAAATTTAAGACTATACAAACAATGTTTGAGTCCTTTTTCCTATTTACATCCTTTTTAAAAAAAACTAAAACATTGTTTGTGTAGTCTTAAATTTTCAATAATGAAAATAACACAATCATATGCTAATTAAAGAAAACTTACAATGAATTCGTCTATTTTCTCGAGATAATTGTGAGATAAATCGAGATGTCTGAGTGCCACCCAATTGGAACAAGTTCCATTAACTGTAAATGCCTAAAATAAAATTTAAAATATTTTAAACATTAAACTCAAAAATACTTTATTATTTTTATTTTTATTATTATTGTTGTGTTCGTGGAATGTTTCCTACACAGCATATATACTGATGACTAGTGCTATGCTGGACTGAAGTCTATGCATAACTACAAGAAAAAGTTATGTTCATCTGTGTTTAAGAATTTCCTATGTAATGTGTATTTAGTATGGCAACTTTTTGTATGTGCCTCTGTGAAGCACTAACACTTCAAGACATTTGTACAGTGCATGTGGTATGATATCTGTACCAAAAAGAGACTACTAGCACAATAAGTATTTTTCTGATGTGTGTATTTGTAATGCAATTGCTGGGTGCATAAAATCTGTATGTGTGTGCAAGCTTTTGATGTATTATATTTGTAATTTGGTTATGTTGATGTAAGTAGTCAATCTGTGTTAAAAGTATGCACCCAATGATGTATATTTATAGTAAAGTGATTATGCACTACAAGAAGAAACCATTTGCAGTACCTCTATTGGTAAAGTTTGAAAGTTATCACTTCCATCATCTCAAAAACAATGCACAATACACAAAAAAGTCAATTATATAATTGTATGGCTTAGCAGGAAAGGACACACAACATACATAAATAGCATGAATAGAAAGTGTGAAATGCTAATGTGCATAAATGGCAAAATGTGTATTTCTCAAATAATATCTCAGTAAACCTTACTGTCAACTCAGCAGAACAACATCTGTAAAGCTCTTCAAACATTTCCAGCTTACACCAAAGACCACCTTCAGAAAACAAAAGTGTTTTAAAATGGAATGCTTGAAACAGACTTCAAAATTTGATTGTATGGAATTTGATATTTGAATGCAAATTCTACTTTAAAACTCTTATTTTTTCTTGAAGAAGGTCTTTGGTGTAGACAAAAAACATTTGAAGAGCTTTGATGCTGATGTGACTATGAGGTTTATTAAGATATTATATGATTGCTATCCAGTTCCAAGTCTAAAGAGTTTTTTATGGTATGTATACTTCTTGTGCATTCATTCTTGTATTCTCATTCATTTCTCATTTTCTTATGTCTTTGTGCTGATTCATTACCTTGTGTTGTATGCTGTCCATCACTCACATCTTAGTAAGTAAGGACCTCAATATGCACACTTTATATAAATGTATGTACATCATAACATATTTTAAAACTATGTTTATATCACAATACCAGTTAACTATGAACTAACAATTATTGATAAAGCAAAAATAGTACATAAGTTAATTTAAAATTACAAACATAAAATAAACTGTGATTATTTTATTAATTTTACCTCCAAATGAAACACACTACCACTGCATATTAAAATTTCAAGTTGCTTCTGCAGTTGAGCGATACCTAAAAGAAGATGAATGGGAATTTTTTTCAATTCTAACAACCATAGCATATGGAATGCTGACAGGTTAATTCCACCCTGGACGGTTTCAGCATTATTTAAAATCTAAAACAAAGCGAAATAAATTCATTTAACAGGAAAAAAAATAATTAAACAACATTTATATTAATAAAATTTCTTAATAATATTTTGTCTGAGTTCTTGAGTTAGTTTATTTGTATGTATATGGCAATAAGACATGCGAGTGATCTGCTAAGGAGGAAACATCTCATGGAGGCCTTTCTTTGAGAAACTGGCCCCTATTTAGCTGTCAGAAACATGAAGAAAACCTAAAAAACTCCACATGGCCAGCCCAATTTAGTAGTAGTAATTTTTTCTAATTCCAAAACATAGCCAATAAGTAATTTAAAAGTTTTTTCGGGTTTTCTTAAATGTATTTTACATATATAATAAAATAGACAATAAATTCTCTGAAAACTGAAGAATTTTTTGTGTTGATATGTGTATTTCAAGTTTTTATTGCTGGTAATTAACTACTTAGAACATGAGGAATGCAACACAATAAAAATTTCTATTATACTTTTATTAAAATTTCAACTGCTTAATGTTGCTGGTAACTTTTTAATAAGTAGTTTGTGCAGCTATATCCATAATATTGTAGGTTAAAACTATCTGAATAATATAATTTTATCAATATCAAAATCATTTAAAATCAAATATTTTTAGTTTATTTATTATTTCAAATAAACAAAGTTATAATTTTAATATTTTAAGTACAAAATTTCAAACAAGATAGTTTTCTATTTTTGTTTTGAAGATGACATTATGCAAGTGACCCTCATTCATGTGTAAACATTGTTCACATCTTCAAAGTATGTCATGCACAGGGCAGCGCAACATATTCTCAGAAATGTTATCGATTGCACAACAAATTTTTACCTTAGGAGTTTTGCTATTTTATGGACAAAAAGTGTGATATATAAAGATTGTCCACTAAATATAGAAACTCCTAAGGTAAACATTCCTCGTGAATTCAATAACATATCCGAAAATATGTTGTGCCATCCCATGCATAACATACTTGCAGACGTGAAGAGTGCTTGTGCACGAACAAGGGTCACTTGCATAATGTCATCTTCAAAACATAAAGGACAAACTATCTTATTCAAAATCTCATACTTGAAAACTTGTTTAAATACAGTATATTCAAATATTAATAACAGTCTATTCATATCACCCATTTTCCTTTTGGACCCTGTACATTAGATTTTGAACATGTACAAACATAAATCTAAACTGCCAGATTATTTCAGGCTATATTAAAGTTAATTTTTAATTAACAGAATTTGACTGTAAAATATCAAAAGTATGAGGCACAACTGTTACAAGTACACACAGAGTACCATAATACTTTTCAGCCAAATTCCATTAATTAATAATCCAGTAGCTTATGTTTGTCAATAGATCATGATTTAGAATATACGATTCTAAAAGCATTTATCCAGATTAAATCTCACCCTGGCTTCTAAAGAAGTATTTTATTTTTCTGTTTAATTTGATGTTGAGTCATTAGTATGATTACATTGTTCAAAGCTATTTTTAAAGTACTGTATTAAGATTATCATTGATTATATTTTAATAAATTTTAAATTTTCTTATTCACTCAAATGTTTAGACGAATAAAATATACTTACCTTTAGAGCAATGGCATTATTAACAATGCTCTTAAGAAATAGTACATTTTTTATTAAATCACAACTATTATCACTGCAATGGTTAGCGCTTGCAAAAATCCTATTCAAAGTGCATAAAACTGATGAAGTCAACGATAATTTCTTTCTTCCACAAAGAATTTCTTTTTCTAAACAACAAAAAAAAAATTATTTGTTAATAAAATATATTTGAAAGCAATCTCCTCATCCTCGCAATTATTTTAAAACCTCATCAATTCATAATAATTTTTCTCAAGAAGTTGTCACTTTAATCCAATTTCATATAATAAAACTTTATACATAAAGTGATTCAAATCATTTATCATCTGAGAACACAAAAATAAAATCAAATGGTAAACGTATACTACTAAAATGAATCTGAAGAATGTAAAACTAATATATGAAAACATACAGAAAAATTACCAAACATATATTCACATATCAAAATCTTGAGCACTTAACTGAATTAAAGAAAAAGACCAAATAAAAACCCCTTAATCAGTATCAATAACTTACAATTCGACATCTAGATGCCGACGGACACTAGTAATGCTACCTTGCCGTATCGCTTTGATGGTCTTTTATACATTACTTATTTGACTATTGAACATGCTTACAAAAAATGAAAATGTTTTTAACTTGTGTTTCTACTAACACCTGGTTACAAAAATATAGTAGAATATTATTCAATATTTTAGTCATATTTAAACCCTCATTAGTGAAATACAATTCAATGAATTTGAAAATACACCCAAAAACATTTGTGCTGATCACAGTTTCTCAATCACATGGAAAATAATAATAATAATATAAAAATAAACTTAACAATTTTTACAAGGAATACCACGACTTTACAAACATATATTTCGTTTTTAAATGTCCTGACAAACTCCTCAAATGCCCCATTAGTGGTTGGATGATATGGTACAGAACAAATGTGCAAAATACCATTTTGATTCAGAAAATCTCAAAATTGTTTAGACGTGAATTCAGTCCTGTTGTCCAAATGAATTTAATATGGCAAACCATAGTGATCGAATAAGGATTTGAGTATTCTGATTGTTGGTTCAGATGCTGTGTCAGGGATTTTAAATATTTCACACTATTCAAATGTGTTGTCAACCAAAATGAAGATCCATACATTAAAAAGAGGGCCTGCAAAATCTGTGTAATCTATCCAATTTGTTTTCGGGTTGAGCCAAAAAACTTTAAATTGTTCGGTGGATCTGATAATTGAGTTTGACATGTTGTACACTTTAATGGTGTTCTCTATCTCTTTTGGCAGCCCTGGCTACCAAAAGAGTGTTCAAGCTAACATTTTAGTTTTTACAATGCCTAAATGACCTTTGTGTAATTCTTGTAAAACCTTACATGTTGAATGTGGAATAACTACTCTGTTCCCCTAAAATAAACATTCATCATGAAATGATTATAGAATACACAAAAGATTAATAACTCATTAGAAGGTCTGAATGTTTTGCCAATTTCCCGAAAATTTGACAATAACCTGACTAAGGACAGGATCAGATGCAGATACATGTCAGCGGAAACATTGAAGCGGAACTTCTAAATTGATCTACATAAAAGCTAGATGTTTCAAAATTGAAATAAATCTCGATGTTCGTTTATCAACAGTGTTATGAGAGAGTCCATGTGCCAAAGTCCTTAATAGAAATGTATTGAATATCATATTGATAAACAGCTAAAAATAAAGATCAACAACATAACCGAGCCACAACTAGTCGGTTTTGAGCATATTTATGTCCACAAATGGCTATCATGGCTTATAATTGATTTCCAAAATAAACTTTCATCCATATAAATATTCACGAATTTCTTTACACTGTGAACTATCGCTAACCCTTCCTTTTCAGTTTGCAAATAAGTTCGTTGAGCATCTGCTAATACATTGCTAGCAAATGCAAAAAGATGCTTGATCCCATTCAGTTCATGAGATAATACTACTCCTATCCCTACTGGTAAAGTATCAACAGTGAGAAAAACTTGTTTATTTGAATCAAAATATGTTAAAAGATTTGCACTCTTGAGTGCCAAACTCAGATTTAAGTAGGCTGTTTCTTGATCATTACACCAATGCCAAGAGATAAGAACACAAAGATGATGATATAATGGTTTTAATATGGTAACTAACCTGGGAATAAATCTTACATAGTAATTTATCATCCACAAATATGAACATAATTGTGTGTCTAGAAAGTGGGTCTAGGTGCCTGAATCAAGGAAGTTAAGTTTCCTGAATGGGATCATACCATAAAGAATTTATTTGGAATACTAATAAACCTCCTTCTGTCATTAGAAATTTGCATTTTAAACCCTTCAAACACAGCCCCAATAGAGAGAATTCAATCGAATGCATCTAAATGATCCTTTCTAGTACAACCAGTAATTAAAATATTTTCTAAATACGGCTGTGCTGTACTAACAGGGCATAATATTTGTTCTATAACTCTTTGAAAAATTGCAGCAGCAGATTGGTGCAACTCCATAAAATAAACAATTAATTCAAAAAGACCTATAAGAATATTTATAATCATTGTTTGCTATCATTGTCTAGTAAGAACTGATTATACTCATGAGCCAAAACAAATGTACCCTTGCAACTTGGCACAAAATTCTTCAACCTTAGGTAACAGGTATTGATAAATATGGATGACCTTCTTAAGTTATAAACCCTACTATGGCTACCAAATCATCCCTTTTTCTATGGCTTTAATGGGAATTGCCCAATCACTATATGAAATTGGAGAAATGATATTGTTATCTTGTAATCTTTATAAATATGTTTCTAATTTTTCTTTAAGAACAAAAGAAACCAAGTTTGCCTTAAAAAATATAGGAAGGGCACCCTCTTTCAAGTGTAAATGTACTTTAACATCTGTACAGTGACCAATTTATTTCACATTGAAAAATGGACAAATGGGATCACAATATGCAATTAAAGTCATTATTGCATGTATTGAAGATGCAGAGCCACTATTGGGATGAGATCAAGTTGAGCTGTCCTCACAGCATAAAATTGGTTACATTATTATGAAGACTCGATAATAAGTTAAATTGATTTAACTAATTCCTACTCATGAGAAGGATTGTTCCTCTGTCTATAACAAATAAATTCGAAGTTTTTGTTACATTTTTGTATGTTACAGGTACTTGAATGTAGCCTAACACACAAAAGGAATATCCATTATAAGTTCTTAATAAGATGTTTGCATATTTTAAGGAATAGTTCTTAAAATCTAAGTTATAACTAGTTTTACCAGTTAAACTGATTGCCAATCCAATGTCCATTTCCATGCTTAACAGTTTATCATCAATCCGGACTGGAATAAAAATTTGTTTTATGATGCAAGCATTGTGGCAATTTATATGGTAAAATCAAATATCACACTTAGTTTGTTCTTTTACATCCTCAACAGTAGACAATTTTACACTCAGCTTATCTTTACTACGACAAAATGAAGTTGTGTGTTCTTATATTTACAATCTGCTTGAATATGTGATTTGTAAGCCACAAGCACAACAATGATGATTTGATATAATGAGTAAATCTGAATTGGGTTTTCTTGCCAGGCAATGATTACTGGTAAGTTGATCAGTTTTCCATAATAATTTAGGAACTTTTGAACCATTAGACAAATTGTTATAAGAACACTCTTGAGTAAGCTGAGCACTAGATCCATGAATCTTTTAAGCCTCTTGATGAGCACATTCAATGGAAACTGCATATTGAACTGTATCATCAAACTTCAAATTTTTTATGGGAGTAACACTATCTCAGTTTATTCACTTTTAATTCCCATAATAAACTGATCTCTCAGATGGTTGTTTAAATCTTCACCAAACTGACAGTGAAGAGGCAAAAATTTCAAGTTCAACAAAATCCGCAACCAATTCACCTTCTTTATAATATCTTTTACAAAAATGAAATCTCTAACTAACTTCATAAGGTTTTGGCACCAAATGGCAAGCCATTTTCTTTACCAGTTCAGAGTAACTATATTTCCCAGAGAATAACCCTTATGTTCAGGAATACATGATCCCATACTCGTTGCCAATTTTCTACGTCCATTCATATTTATTTAAAATAAACTTAGGAATTATATTCATTTATTAGGACTGTTATAACAACAATTACTGTGTTTACTGATGGTATTACGTAACCAACTATTGTTGCTCTCTTTCTCGGACGACGAGGCTATCCATGCGAGTACCGAAAAGTTGTTAAACACCCCAACCCCAAAAACAAAAGAAAAAATTAAATAATGTAAGTAACTAAGTTAAATATAATTATAAATAAAAATTCTCTCCTACTACCCCACGAAGGTTTTCATCACAATGCCACAGGCATCTAAGAAATATAGTAATTTTGACACAAACCACATATTATGTACAGTACTGTATAATATTAAATTTGCAATTGGTTTCTTGTCACGTGTTTCACAGCATGTCTTAGAAGGCCAAAGCCTATCATGTATTGTCACACTAAATAATTTAATTCTACATGCACTAATTCTATTTTAACACATAAGTTTTCTAATTTGTAATTTTTAACTTGCAATTGTTATACAATATTTTGTGCTGTACAACTACAGCCCAAAATACAACAATAACAAAAATATATTTCAATTTGAATTACTGCAATGCCACATATTGTAGAGTGATACGCAGGATTGGTTTCTAGCTCGAGATTTTTCCATTTCGAGACCAACCGCATGAAAAATTAACGACCGATAAACTTGCAAAGATATTTTTTGTCATTCACCAACAATTTAGTGTGAATAATCTTTTGGATTTTGAGTGATTTTAAGTGAAATTTCAAAGATAATTAGGTCACACGATTCATAAAACTGTTAATCATACTAAATTATCAATAAGCAATATCAATTGTCATCCTAACAAACTTATCAACTAGTAATAGTTTCATAAATCAGTTCCAAACCAAGACAGTTGGCAATAATTGCAATAATTGAATTATTATTTTTTTTTTTTTTCATTTTTGGCTCTTTCCACCCCACGGGATTTATTTCCATACTGTCACGATTTGACCGGGCCCACAATAGAGTGGAAGCGAGGGACAACACCCAACGTATTTGGGTCATACCACAGACAAATTGTCCACGTGGCTCGACCGGATCGGTAGGCCATTCGCTTACCGATCCGGTCGAGCCACGTGCCTTCTGTCATCCGGCCATCAATACTTCAATTTAAAACACTTCAACAAAGAAAAATCCATAAAGGAAAAGTCGCCTCGATTAGCACGTAAGCTCTTGAGGTAAGACAAGGACATACTTCTAAATTATATTTTGTGTTTGCCTTCAAATTACTTAAAAATACATCTGTATTTCATAATAAATGCAACCAAATTTGCTTAACTTGCACTATAAAATGCACTAATGTCAACACAATTCTTGTTTCTATTTATTCTTATTGGATTTATAACTGCACGAATGGCTCAGCTGCATATTTAAACAATCAAGATACACAATTACTAAGTATACATCATAAAAACAATGGATATAATAAACAGCATCTATCAATACCCCTGATGATCTGTATATATCACATGAAATAAGGAACGAGATAACGCGTGAAAAAGTAACAAAACACAAGAAAAATACTGATCTACGGGATTAAAATGTACGTTAAGTCACTCACAGATAACGAAACAAATAAATAAATCAATTACGTATTCAAAATCAAAACAAAAATTACCATTTTGTCGAAAAAACCTTGATAATTGATGCGCGAGAGTAACGTCGCTGCTCGAAAGTGTCATTTCTATTCGAAATGCCAGTTTATAAACATAATTACAATCAAAAATGCGACATTTATTCCAAATGTTGTTAACAACGTGACAGATACGAAGGAAGATGCGATAAACATCTGATTATAGATATGAGTGCTGCACCCTGCCGGAAGAAAAACTTTATTTAATTTTTTTGTTTAATTTTTCACTTAATTATAATTATTTACTTTCTATATTATATTATTTTAAAATAATTACGTTTAACTATTATGTAAATATTTGAATTAAATTTTTTAGTTATTAAAAATAATAGATGAAATTTTAATGCGATGAATGCAGGCGTGAGGACTCGATCGATCCGAATTACAGTGGTGGGCCAACATTTAATGATACATTAGACGAAGTAGATAAAGTAGAGATCGACTCTCCGATTTAAATTATTTTGATAAATTATAAACTTTCAATTAAGATTCAAAAACTGATCCTTTTAGCGATACGTTGTTCTCGCGTCGCGAAGCCATCATAATTATGTAAACTATTATTGCGTGCAGAGTGACCATTTCCAAATTTCAAAAAAAGCAACGTGGGACAAATCAACGCTCATCTCAAAGTGTCTTAGTGGTCCAGTCTGGTTTCTGATCAGAACCAGCTTCAAACTGTTTAATCTGGGAATTTGAGCAAGGCCTCGCGCAAAGAGGACTTAGTGGAAGTTCTTAGCTTGATGCTAAAAAAAGATACACTTGGTATCTACAGAAAGGATATAATACTGTATATATTTATATAAAAGCTCTGGATACATTAATATAACGCAATTTTTTGCTATTAAATGTTATTCTGTTTGGTCGCAAACTAAACGCTTCATATAGCGTACTCATTCGAGAAAAGTGATGTCATATTTAGTCCTTATCTGACAAGAGAAAAATGACTACCGCGGAGAACTTTCTATGCAAACGGCCCCATAGAAGTGTTTATAGGAGGATTTTGGTGTTAGACACGTGAAATAAACCCGATAAACTCCATGTGTCCAGTCCAGTCCGTTGGTAAGGCGCAAATCCATGACCAAATACAGTCGATCCCCCTGTAACACGGTAGATACGTTCCGGTTTTTATGAAATTCATTTTCTACGAGTCCTTAAATACATGAGCCAATCACAGCCTGGTACGTATGCAGTTTACGGACTACGGCTGTTTGAAAGGTTTTCTTCCATAAAATTAATCGATTCTAAACTAATTTGACTCAACAATTCCAAAATACGTATAATTTTTTGGAAATAATCCATATAAACTATGCTATAAATAAAAAATTATAGGATTACTTACCGAGCGTGCATCGTTCGACGACGCCATCGCTTAAGCTTGTTTTCGTCGTAGTGCGGCTCATCGAATGGCACTCGCGTACTTTCTGATAAATTATTTTTCTGCGAAAACTTTGCTGAACTTTGGAGACACCATTAATATAAATACAATTTTTATGGCCGTTAAATAATAAATGGTTTTTAGTAGGTCCGGCGCTAGATTAAACTCAATGGTTTGTGCAATATCCGTTATTGGTCTAGATTCGACCAATCCTGTCGCGACACGAGTCGGCGATGACGTTTTACTGAATTATATGAGTCTCTTTTAGCGTGTTTATACGAATACGGTCGCAATTTTTTCACCGTCATATAGGAATCCGAACTATATGAACCCGTTTTATAGGGGGTGTCTACTGTACTAGCATTCAGTGGTTTCATTCACAATTTACTCGATCATCAGTAAACTGTAATTATGCATTTTATGCGAAAACAGTACATCAACAACAAATAAGTTCTCTTAATTAAAAAAAAAAGTACGTAATAGTTAAATAAAACGATAAGAGAAGGACAAAATATGGCGGATGATGCTCAAACGAAGCTTCCTCTACATATCTAAATACAGTCGGCCCCCCTATAACGTGGGTTCTTATAACGGAAATTCCTATAACGTAGCGAAAAACTTGCGGCAGTATTCGTATAAAAAGACTCGCAAAACGTCGTCGCTACTCGTGTCGCGACAAGTTTGGTCGAATCCGGACCAATAGTGGAAGAGCAGCCGAACTACTTTCCGCCGTCCAGCGCCACGCTACGGAGAGTTTAGGCGAGTAAGCTGAGTTTACTATCGTCTGTACAGTATGTAAATTAGGTAAATGTACCATAAGTCTAATACAGTGCTGTAATTTTATACATTTCTTGTGAAAGAAACATTTCTTATTCAACGACCATAAAAATTATTTCTATTAATGATGTCTCCAAAGAGTCAACGAATTTTTCGCATAAAAATAATTTATCAGAAAACGCGGCCGCCATTTGGTGCGCTGCTCCGCGACGAAAACAAGCGTAAGCAACGGCGTAGTCGAACGGTGCACACTCGGTAAGTAATCCTACAATTTTTTGTTTATAGAATAGTTTATACGGATTATTCCCAAAAAATTATGTGTTTTGGAAATGTTGAGTCGAATTAGTCTAGAATCGGTTAATTTTATGGAAGAAAACCTTTCAAACAGCCTTAGTCCGTAAACTTCACACGTGTCGGGCTGTGATTGGCTCATGTATTTAAGGATTCCTACAACGTAAAATTCTTATAAAGTGGAACGTATCTAAGCGTTATAGGAGGGTCTACTGTACTGCAAAGTTACGGCGATTTCCACGAAAAATAATTTAATGCAAATATTTTGATACCATATTTTCTATGAAAATTTCTGAGGTACGATAGATTTTGAACTCAGATGCTTCAAAGCGGCAATAAAATCAAGTGTTATTTAAATATAATTTAAAATATTTGGAAAATAATTATGCAAGATATTAAAATTTCTTATTATATTTAATAGCATAAAAAGTCTATCGTTTTAACTGTATAGTAATTATAATTAGAACTGGTAGGATTAGTACCTGAAATCCATTCTATAAAGCTTTTACCTCATTTTATTTAAAGGTTTAAATAAGTGAAGAACATTCATAGATTATTTTATAAATACAATAAAACCTGAGTAAAATTGAACTCGAATAAAACTGATGTCCAAGGAGACAAAGACAAAAGTTTGCAGTTGTGAAGAATCGAATTCCCTTGTGGTTCAACCACGAAAAACAGATAAATGTTTTTCTAATGCTTGGAGGGTGGAAAGAATTTCTTAAATGAATAATCTTCAGGTACAGGAATTTGTTTATTTTATGAATCGACGTTCTTTCACGACTAATTAGTGAACAAATGGTCTTTAAATTATCTTCCCATCCCTACAACAATTATAGTGAAATAATGTTGATATTGTTTCTTAGAAGGGTCTTCTCTCCCACAAAATTCACAAACACACTTACGGGAAAGATTCGTTCACCAGTATTAGTGTAACACCTTAAATGCGCCATATTGTACTAATTTTCTTTCTATAAATACGTTATAGATCCGAGACACTGGTGAATTAATTAAAGTAAGCGTGTAAGAATTAAATGAATCACACGTTGTTTCGCGTGATTCGGTTTTAATGGAATGCGGATTCGGAATTTTTAGAGAGGTATTTACACTCGAGACAATAATAGGTAATATTTATAGACATATAATGTAACAGAAGAAAATATAAATGATTAAACGTGGAAGTATTATAGCTATGTGCTTGTGGTGTAGTGGTTATCACATCCGCCTAACACGCGGAAGGTCCCAGGTTCGAGCCCTGGCAGGCACACTTAATTTTTTTTCCTCTTCCGTTTTCATTTCCTTCTTTTATCATTTTATTTACTTTTCTATAACACGAAATTTCATTTTAAGTTAATTAAGTATTGAAGGTTTTAATCATTAATGCTCGCGCCATCTGTTGGCGAGGAAGAAAACAATTTCAAAAATCCAAGTGTTTTATTTCGACACGAGAAAACAATATTTACATACATAAAAACGTTCTGTAATGTTTTTTGTTCTCCGCTCGATTTACCAAATTCAAATTGCTGCAACGAATAGCAGAAAGAAAAAAAAAGTACAATTCTAAGAAACGACGGCGATTGTTCCCTGAGAAATGAGACTAGAGATAAAGTTACACATCGAAATGTTACGCCCCCGTTTGGTTTTTATTTTTTTTACGAACGATCCGAGTTAATATTTAGCTAATCGACGCGTCACTAATTTTAAAAATTCGGTGGTTTGATCGTAAAAAGGAAATAAAATGCTAATTCTTAGAACGACAGAATCCGCGACGATCGGCCTGTTATCGTGACGTCACCATAGCAAAACACAGGAAGTCACCGCAATTTTCGAGTGACGCTAATAATAAATTGATGGGTTGTGGTGACGTCATAAAAATAATAAATCAATCACGTTCTACAACTCGGTTCGGTCCAATTGTTACGGATCGAAACGTCACGTGTTTTACGACGTCACGACATCGTCGCTAATTCGTCACGGTGCGAATGGGCTTAAGGCTGCGAGACGGCGGAGTTCGGAGCCCCATTGATAATAATCAAGATTGAAAGATCTTGAAGCCTTTGTTGAATAGTTTCATTTTGGGATTCCTCTCGGCTAGAACCAGACTTCTGTTAGGTTCTTCGTTTTTCCGGGCAGACAGGGACGATTTGACGGGTGATTTTTGTGAACGGGTGTTGAGGAGGCGGGTGCCATTGGTGGGTGCCGATTCTCCTATGTACAGAGACTTGTTGGCTTCTCGTCTCAATATCTGACGCACGGTTTCTTGAAAGACTGCTGCCACTTCGTCGTATTCTTCCGCTGCTGTCGATTCTAAAAATGTGGCTTCGTATTTACTGGCTACGTTGATTCCTTCCTGTTTACTCACTTGCCTGTCAAAAAGAATAATCGAGTGAACACACAAAGACACAGAATTGATCGTCACGTGGCCGGCCTTAGAAATTCAAAAGGACACGAGCCACTTTCATATTTCTAAACACTAAAAATGTAAGAAACTACTAAAGCATTAGGCCTGGAGGTTCTTCTAAATTAAGAAGCCAGTCAAATGGCCTCCTTTCTCTTTTTAATAGACCTTGCATGCAATTGTAAACGATAGATTTAAATAACATCACGGAATTTGAATTAAGTATCCTCCCGAACTAAGTACCATCACGAAATTTGGGGCCCCCTCGAATGAAGATACAAGTTTAATGGACTTCTCGATCCTTTCTTCGATAGGACCTACATACGATTGCAAACGACAAGTTTTGTATTATCGTTACGATGTCGAATTGACGTCACGTTGGCTTCTACACAAGGTATTATAATCCGTAACATTCGTCACGCGATAACGATTGCAATTTAGGACGTTATTTACGAAAACAACTCGTCGATTGTTCTTTTGTTATCGGTGCAAATTGCAATAAAGAAATACAATATAATTATGGTCTGGTATTTTCCGATATTATCGATCAGTGATAGTGATAGTGTACTCGACACAAAAGCGTAACAAATAACCAAAACTACTAGCCTGTATCTCTCCAAATCGACTTTGTTCCCTACTAGTATCAAAGGTATTTCTCTAGGACTGGAATTCTGTACTAAGTCCATATAAGAGTTGGCCTGTTCGAAACTCGACCTGTTGGTGATACTATAGACGATTATAAAACCATCTGCCCATTTTAAGTAACGATCGGGTGTCTTGTAATCCTGAAAAGTTATAAACAGGTGTTTAACCAGAGAAAATTACCACACAAAACACTCGAAATCTGCCACTTACCTTATCGCACGTGTCCATAATATTCAAAATTACCTCTTTCTGGTCGACGACATCCACCTTGGAATACGTATTTTCTAAAAATACAATAAGATTATTAACCATTGTCACGTCACTACCGGTGGTAATTTATCGTTTCGATAAATGACGTATAAGAAACTCTCAACCAATGGCGGGATTCGTAACGCAGTTTAAACCGTTCCATTGTTGTGCCGTTTCTATTTTTAAGAACTGTTTTCAACGAAATTTTCTCGCAGGTTTTTAAGAAAAAATCGACTAAAAATACGACTCGTCAACGGAAGTGAAAATACTACTAAAAATAATACAATGTACCGCTTATAGGCATCATAGAAATCAGCTGTTTTACTACGTGACATCATTTCGTTGCGTCATCAAACGATATATAAAAGAATAATGCGCATAACTTGCCCTAATTGGGATCGAAAGTGTTTAAAAGAAAAAAGGGTCTTACCTAATTCCGGATCGTACTCATTTATAAAACGCTTGGTGATGTACTTAACGGTCAAGGCTGTAAAAAAAATGAAAAAACACGTGTCAAAACAGGTGTAATGGCGAATTCTAAACACTTACAACACAACTGGTTAAGATATTACCAAACATTTGTATGTCCTCCAAAGAACGGAATGCTCAGAATATTTATATAAATAATTTTTCTCTTTCTATATAGAATACGCGAGGGAGGCATGCCCTAAATTAGTAATATCTAATTGCTTCTTAGGATAAATAAGGGTGAAATGCCCCGTATTAATAATTAAACGCTTACGACATAGCTAGTTGCGATAAAATCAAACATTTGCTTCCACTCGAAAGAATGGAATGTTTCGAAAACTTGAATATTTTTATGTCTTTCTGTGTGCCCTTTAAAACTATTAATTAAGGTATGTAGGATAAGAGGGTAATGGCCTAAATTAGTAACTAATTGCTGTCTAGGATAAATAATAATATTAAGCGGGGCAAAGGTTTCTTACTTAATACTTTAATAATTATTAATGCGAGGCATCTATCCCTCAGTTTAACTGTACTCAAAATATTCGTACATTTTTTAGTTTTGTTGCCAATTTATCCAGAAAATAATCGAAACCGGACTCAAAACCACCATTGTGTTTGGTCGTCCGAACCCATAAATGTATCGATTTTATGGCAAAAGCGCAATTCAATTTTTACCTAGCGAGCTTCGAGCCAACTTACCATCGACGTTTTACCACCGCGCAGCGCCATATTCTCCCTGGTGGTTGAGTTCTTTTAATTAGCAGCTAGTAAACGGATTCAAAGAGCATCTTGCGGATGAAATATAACTAAAATTAAATTAGCGTTTCCCGCCTCCTTAAGTACTTTTGCCAGACGTCGCCATTCGACACTTAAGCTAAGTGGTGCTCTAAAACGGATTTTTTTCGAAGGCCTAACAGGAAATTAACTCTCGACGATGATAAGTATCGGTTGTTACACGCCATTAAACTCGAGTAAACACACTAAGTAAACAAATGCTTAAAGAAAAAAATGCATATTCAAACAGACGCTCTTATCATAAATCATAATTATTACTTTAGTAATTATAACGCCCCTATAGGAGATGCTATCTACTAAATAATAAACTTCGAACGGTATTACGGAGGATGTCAATGTCGATGAACTATTTACTTTCGTTTAAAAAGAAATGAGTTACGCTAACGATCGTATCGCGTAACGCTTTGCAATAAAAATAACATTAAATATTTAAAAATTTTTAATAATGATTAATCGATAGATGGCGACACGCTTAAAATACCGAATACGTTGAATTCTTAATCAAATTTATTAGCCTAATTTCAGCCTAAATTATTACGTAATCTGGTAAATTCGGTAAAAATTATTGGTATTATTTATGTCAGCGCCCGTTTAATTTATTATTAATTTAGAAATTATTATTAATAAAAAATTAACCAATATTTTTTTCTAATTAAAAGTGCTGTTTAGTTAATTTTTGTTTTAAATTTCACAGAGATGTAATTTAAATTTCGTCAGAAACGAGCGATTAGATCCTAGTTATACTTTACTCGAAGATAATTTTTTTCATAAAAATACGAAGGCCTCGAGTTACTTTTGCGATTTAGGAATTTAGAAAAAAAAATCTTAATTCATTTATACTTTATGATAATTTTCGTGTAATTAAAGATGTCGGCATTTGTTAAAGTATTGCGAGAGATACGACGCAGATGTTCCATTTAAAGCAAAGAAAATGTAAATGTTTTAATTCTCGAAAATACTCATCGATACGGCGATATTCAATTATAAAATACTTTTAGAACTATTTTCTACGATTTATTGCACTTTTTTACAAGAAAATATTTAAATTTTATTGTTAGATATTGAAAAAAGTATCTACGTTTATCGACTTTAAAACTCGATGAGAGTTTATAACGCGTGGCAAATTACGTCAGAGTCGTCGGATGCACAACTGGCGAACAGACGTTTTGTAAGAGGATGTTATTTTGGTTCTCTGACATTGGCATCGCTACCTGTGCGACTGAAAAGATTCCCAGATGTGGAAGACACTACACAAAACGGAACAATAACTAAATACCCGCTAGTTCCTTTGTGTAATTATCGATACCGCCTTCGAGTAGTCGATTTTACGTAACGCATATTTTATTAAATATTTAATTATTTATTAAAAACTGGGCGCTTTTTAAGTCGTTTCGCCACACGAAATATTAAAGAAAGATCGCTTTGCACCCCCGCCGCTTGGAAATTTTGAAAGAGATGAGCTCTTCCACGTAATAAAGGCGAGTTTTTGAGTTTCGGATCGACTTACGTTACGACAAAAGTTGTATTAGTTTAAAAATAAAGTTAAAAACAAAACTTACCTGATTTTCCCACTCCCAAAGAGCCCAATATAGCCAAATTGATCTCAGGCAAGGAAACGCTAGGACCTGTTGGCGTTCTTCGGCCGCTCATTTTGGAACGCGCATCACGTGACGATGGCAACCCCCCGCTGAAGTCCTCTTATTTATATAAGTTGGGAGGATCTACGTCACGGCTATTTCTAGCCGGAGATGACGTCGGTTAGACTTCCGCGCCTCGTTGTGGTTCCGAAATAAACGTCATCGAAAACGACCCCCTCGTCCTTCGTCGTTCTTTGTGGTTTGGCTGAACTTTAGGTTTTTGACACGCGATTTTATACTAGGGCGGCGATATTTTGGGAAGAGAAAATTTTGTTCGAATTTAATATTTATTCTTACGAAATGGTGGATATAAATTAAACTTTTATTTTTAACTGTGATTTAATTAAAATTAAAAAATAATAATAAAATTTCCATTCTAATTTCCTTAACTGCAATAATAGGCAAGATAATGACCCTTTTTAAATCTCACATTTCATTTATTGGACGATTTAAAATTCAAATATTCAAAATAACCAATTAAGTATCAGTTATCATTCGAAATGTAAATTTCACTTTAGTCTCATTGGTCACTTTAAAACTCGGATGAAGGAATTAGCCAATGAGGCGAAAAAGTTCCGATAGACATGTAATTGTTAATAATAAAGGTTTATTATCCGAATATAATTACAGAACACGTGCAGGTGGTAGCGTAGGAATCATTCAGGCTTCACGAAGCGTATCGTTTCTCTTCGTGGAAACGGTGACAAGCTGGAAGCTGACAATGGATCGACTTCACCCGGCACGCGGCCTCCCTAATATTACGGGATAGCTCCATCGGTACGCATTGTTTTGGATCCACGTAACTTCATTGTGTGATTCAGCAGGAGCGAATTCGATAAAGACTCAGAATAGGCCGGGACGAGTGCAATATGACTTTATACGAACATTATTGCCACTCATCCTGACCTACCCGGAAATCAAATATGCGTGATGATCCACACCGCACCTAAATAGAAAAATTATGAAGAAATTAATTTCGTACACACGAGGAATAACCTCTCATTCGAGTGCCGATGAGAGGTTACTCCTGGTGGAATCTATGAATGGTTCTATATTGCATGTATTCCATAATAGAGCCAATCTCCAGGTTAAAAGTTTTGTGGCCCAGAAAACTAAATTTCCTGTAAAATATTCAGAAATTTGGTGCCTCTCGAAGGTAAATTCACAATTCTTATCTGGTTACATCGCTATTTTTGCTTAATTGATAAGCGGGGAGATCAGAAATAGAAAATCTTGCGGGCGCCATTTTTGATTCTATCGGAATAACTTTACTGTTCTAGCATTTCTTTGAACAAACTTTCTATAGTTTATTGTTTGATCTCGTGACTAGATTACTTTTTTTCATTTATTATACGTCATAACTAGTTTGAATAGACTGTACGAGCGAGACTTACATCGTGATACTGCGTTACTATAAATGGTGTCTTACCTGAAGAGTTGGGACGTCACCGTCATTCTTCTGTTTAAAACGTTGTCGAATCGCTCTTATGATTGTTTAAAAATACATAAATTTAATATTTTTCTCCTTTGTTTAAGAGTTTTGGTGCGATGAGTAACAGATACCCAGCGCGTGGCTCTTGTAGAATAATACTAAAATTCAAAAAATCTAGTGTTTGTACTCTTAAGAAACAATGAAGAAAAGGAGAGTTTCGTACCTGAAAGGTGACCACATTCCCGTTTTGGTAGAGTTGGAGGTAGACAATAAAGCACGAGCAATGCCAAGGGGATATTCCCGCCGAACGAGGTGAGACGTCGTCTTACCTGAGTCCAGGTGAGTCGAGGGGTGCGACCGTCAGCCAGCGAATCCGGGAGCCGAGTGACGAGGTCGGGAATAGGAAGCTAAGCGGCCCGGGGGGCACCGGAACTGGTTCGTGGACCAAATCCCCATCCGGACGCCGACAGATGGGAAGATTCTTTCCAAGGGGGAAGCGGGAAAGGGAAGAGCAACCATCTGCTCTTACGCACTTGTATAATAGGGTTCTCGGCCGGAGGCCCCGCACACTTAGCGTGTGAATCGAAGAAAAAAGCTCGTCTCACCTGCAAACGTTCCCTTTTCTTCCCCCTTCCGGACTAAACATTTTTGTGAGGCCTTATTGGGTTTGTGTCAAGACGTTCGGCTCCGCGCCGAATCGGTAAAGAAAAAACGCTCGAAAATCGGGCGGAATCGATATCTGAGGCAAAATTCGGCGGTGGCGATATAACGTCGACGCTTTACGTAACCGTTATAAAGGGGAGAGATAACGAACACACTCGATTTTACGAAAATCCCTTCTTCCATCGCTCGGACAACTAAACTTCTCCAACAAGAAAGTCCGAGTTTAAATAGCGAAGGTGGCCGAACCCACGCCCGATTTTTACAAGAAAACGTTTCAAAAATCGGGATAATTTTTTTTTTCTGGGGGCCGAATGACGGAACAAAGAACCGTCCTCGGGGCAGGAAGTAAAAGCGATACTAACAAACGGTTAGAAAAGCCACTGCCAGGTGTTCTGCGCCGTCCGCGCGCCCCCTTTCGCTTCCCCCCTCGGGACCATCTGTCCCGACGCGTCCCACCTGGTCTCACAGGATTAATCTCGTCCGACGTAGATCATTATCCCGTTGCCTCGGTCCGTTCCCATAATAGAATCAAAGAAGACCATCGTCGACAGGTTAAATATTTACACGACGTCATCGTGGGGGGACATTCTCTTAATTAAACTCCTCCCCCGCGCTCTATAAACAACTGATTTTCCTACATTCGACCCACCGGCGAATAATTTAAAATTAAAACTCAACCTCGCGTGCTCTCCACACAATTATTCTAGTGTTGTGTAGTGCGTATTTTCGCTTCGATTCTCCGCTTTTCCATACTTTTTAAGATAACTTTCACATGGTTTCTAGTGTTAAATCATTTGTTTTCGCGTTAGGAAATGCTCTTTCCGGCCTTTCTAGTTTGTAACCTTGGAACAATACGGCCGATACCGCCGGCTCTTATCCCCGGGCTAGTGTAAAGTCGGGATGAAGTAAACATCGCATCTCACGCGCGATTCTACGCGCGTGACGCAGGAAATGGCGCGTACGCGCGACTTTCCACCTGCGTAAATAAGCTACTTAGTTGGTTTGTTAGCCCACGTACGATTCGCCCAATTCTGTGTCCTTCCGTGACGAAGTTTCTACCATTTTTTTATGGGGATTACCGTGACTTTACGAGCACTTTCTTAAGGACTGTCGTACTTAAAAAAGTCCTGTTTGTGGCATTAGGCGATTTTCAAACTAATCTTGCGATTAGTAATTGCGAGGATACGCGGAAATTCCTACACTTCAGCTTAATGTACTGTATAATTACGGGATTGTTATCTGATTTGGAGGCTTTGTTATCGCATTACCCGCCATTTTACTTTAAAAGTGGCAAGTGCAAGTAATGTGAGAACAATGATGGTCGATAGATGAGTTTTTAACTTTATCACGGCCAGATACAAATCATCTCGTAAGAATTTATAAAACTACGCGTTAAAACGCTTGATTACGCTTCCAAAATATATAAGAACACCCTATTTTTAATAAAAATCTCCCTTTTGTATCCTGCCGTTCGACTTCTCCTGTTAAATTACCAAGGTAATTACTTTGTTTAGGTTATCTTTCCTCGCCTTAATTGCCCCTCCTTCCTAATTATGATCATTAGTTAACGTATTCTTTCTAGCAAAAGCCGATCTACCATTTAAAATTCTCTCTACCTACAGCTTTCACCCTCTACTTTTTGATATTTTGGCATTTATAATTAACCTAGATTTACGGCACGTGAAAACCCAGTAACACAACGTTACGGCTAAAACGTAACGCAAATTGTAACGGTATTTCCAGGCTCAATTTTATATCGGTACGCGTAGAAGTAGAGGTATTATCGACGTACTAAATTGGACAATTTCGTGTGACGAAATATTTTTGTGGTAAAATAAATACAAAGTAAGTTTCTATCTGGTTCCATTTTACTTGCCGGAGGAAGTTCGACGACTTCCAGACTGCAGCGGGCTTTTATAAAAGGGCAGCTTTTCTCCCTCACCTGCCTTTTATTCTCTTTTCTCTACTCGTGTATACAAATTGGAACATTCGGCTATTATCCGCAGGAAGAGATCTTTTTTGTGTGTGTGTATTTGAAGCTCGAATTTTCGGGTTTTTAATAATTGTTCTTGCTTTTTCCTGTTTGTCGCTACTATATTTTAAATTAATGAAAACTTTCGTACCTTTTCCAACTCCTGAACTCTTTGAATTCTCTTCAAAACCCTGTAAAAATGATTAAATCTCTTGAAAATCGTCTTCTAAGTGCTCAAATCGTCTTTAAAATCTTCTAAAAATGCCAAATTCCACTTTAAAATCGTTTAAAAAATAAACCGATCTCTCGAAAATCATCGAAGAATCCGCCATTTAAACGTTTTCAAGATTTCAAATCGTATAAATTGCGTGCGCTTATACGGATCATCGCACAATTTTTATAAAAAGAAAAATGTGACGTTTACGTTACGATCTTATCGAACGTAACGTATTAAAATTAAAATAAGAGAGAGTGTACATTATTTCATTATTAAGTTACGATGCAAAAAGAAAAAGCTATTAGTCTGTGGAAGTTACAAAACCCTTCGTCGTCGGTGGAGATGACCTCTGCCCTTTCAAATGACGACGCTAAAGACACGTAACTATCCGAAAAGTCATAGTATGACCTTCGTTATATCTATAACCGCCCCACTCTTTATGTTGTATGCGATACGTGAAATACGGTAACATTTTACTCCGTAACAACTTCCGTTTCCGGTTTTGTATGGTTCTAAAAATACGAAATATATATATTTTTTTTATCTTTTGAATTATCGAACAGCTGAATGGTTCCTATTCTGGATTGTAGAAAGAATCCACGATGTGAATTGTTTGGTATATGTATAGAATTTAAAATATGAACAGTTTACGTTCCTAACCCCGAAGGAATTGTTCGTGTTTCTGACCCTAAAGGAGTTGTGTCTACTGCTGATCCCGAAGAGCTGTCCACATTCCAAATGCTACAGGAACAATTTATATTGTGAGCATGAACCGTTCACCTAGGATCCTAGTTCACAATACGAACTATTTTTTTTCAAAAAAAAGGTGTCGAATAGTTCATATTCTGAATAAGAAATAATATAACGGTTTATACCGAATCGAAGACTTCGTACATAACACAAACACTACGAATAAACTTCGGTTCTTTGTATATATTAATAATATAGTTAAACGAAAGAATATATTGAGTCGGGTTTCTGTAAGTTAAGTAAAAAACAAAGGATTCTCGCGGTTCTTTAAATTCCTCCAGCGTATTAAAACGCCGTTGGAGACGATTCATTTGCGGTGTTCGTCAATACTCGATTGTGTTCCTCTTATCTGTAAAACAACGTTGTATTCTTTTAAATGGCACAAAATAACACCGTGTCGAAAGAATTTGATACATTTCACTGCGAAAGACAACTCTATTGTTCAATACGCGTTTGCAGTGTTATCTTGATACGTGAATACACAGCATTGCTTTGTGTCGCATACACCAGTGTTGTTTCTACGGCAAATTGTTATGAATTTATTTAAATTTTTTTTCATATATTATATTATTCTACTCGTTGGATCGGTGGTAACAAAATGACGTCACAAATGTTCGTATTGTTCGATCAAAACTTTCGTTTATGACACTGCTTCGACCCCAACGACCTTGATCTATATTCGAGAATGTAGCGACTCTTAAATTATTTATTGGCTTTTAAATAAAAATGAAACGTGTAATGTAATATTTTGGGTGGTCCAAAAATCTCCACTCCCTTCGAATGACGCGAAATGGTAAAAAAAAATAAAACTTTAGCGCGCCGGCGTCGTCTCTGACGTCAGCGCGTGCCGAAGACTTCGATACAAACCTTAAAATATTTTAATGATTAGTTCTAAACTAATGTATTTGGAATCGAATTAATTCAAGTTATTATTATTATAATTATTAAGAAAATTACACATTTAGTTACTTCTTTGATAAAAAACGTGGGTTAGTAAAGCGGCGCGCGACTGTCGCGCGAGGCGTTATCCAGCGCACCGGCGCGGCGTCGTCTTTAACGACGAAAAACGAACGTTCAAAATCATTTTTTACCGAATATTTAGCCAGTTATCCGCAGTTGTTTATTCGCTTAATCCACGTGTTTTACATTTAAATTAAAATGCAAAGGGATGAATATTAAGAGAAATTCTACTTTTCTCTCCACCGAAAATCGTGGAAAAACTATTAGCGGCCGCGATAGTTGGATAGCGACATCTAGTGAAAAAGATTGAAACGTAATTAATTATAATTATTTTTAAAATTATGATTTTTTGCTATTATTTTCTATCAGATTTGTTTAAAATATTTTTAGAGCAGCTCAATAATTTATTAAATTCTATTTTTAGATATTTATTTTATATCGTAAAAAATGTTTCATCGAGTTTAATTGGTTTTAAAATTTCTGTATATTAAATCCCGACTAATAAATTGTTTATTAGCAATATCTAATTAATAATAAAAGATAAACAAAAAGGTGAATAACATAAAAGTTAATTGAACTGTTGTTTGTTTATATCCAGTTCATTTGTTCTTTTTACATACAGGAACGATTCGTTCATTCCCCTGAAAAATGAAGAAAAAGTAATTAATTTTACATTGTGACATAAGTGAAAACGTTTATTCAAAACCAAAAATCTTCGTTTGAGAATATCTTTCTTGTATTTTATATAACTATTCCAATAATAAATTTTTTAAAATTATTTTTCTCTCGTAATAGTTCATTTTGGTTCCGAAATTAGCCAAATCCTGAAAATTTTAAAATTTTATTCTAAATTATTTTTAAAATGATAAAGAAAGAGCGGCGGACATTAAAATAAGAATCTTTACAAAAACCAATTAAACAGTATTTGTTTCTAACATTTTATCGATGACGGCCGAAGAGTTAAAATCATTATTTAGTGTTTTATCCACTGAATACATGTAGCTGGTCGCGGATTCGCGCCCGACCAGTGGACTGGAGTCTAGGGTTTTTCTTCACTTGTTAATATCTAAATAGGGTCCGCTTTCTCTAGAAGGTCCTCCTGGGAGGCATCTCTCACCTTGGATGATCGCCCACGAGTTGCTTGGTGTATTCCACTAAATCTCAAGAAGAGTATTAAGTTCGAGTTATCACCTTGCTTGTAATGAATATTTTTTAATGTGCCCATCATTTCCATTTACATTTCCTTATTTAACCTATTTTATTTTGGATTCCGCTCGAATGGCAGCCAAACGGGAATACGGTGTCTCGGCGCATTACTCCAACTACCCTTTTTTTACTTGTTAAATTATTTCTAACCGGACAGTAATTAAAAAGTTAAGAAAATATCAGTTAAAAAGTAATATTTTTTTCTGAGCTATATTTTGTAAATTTATAAATTAGGCTAGTTTTTGGCTAATCGTCATTATTAGATAGGATCTTGGCAACACTGATTTTAGTTATGTCGGGAAGAGGAAGAAAGCCACGAGGTAGAAGAAAAGATGTGGTGGACGACGTTCGTGGAGAAAATGTACCTCCTCCCATCATTCAACCTCCCGCTATGTATCCGGTAAATGAAAATTACGCATGTTTATTATGTTGTTTTCCAATGAGAACGTATAAACGATTAAAATTGGTCACACGTGATACACGTGGTTTACAGTTCCATTTCGATCGCAGGTGTATAACTTCAACCCACGAGCTTATGAAAAAATAAAGATATTGGAAGTTAAATATTTAAACGTGGATTTGTATCTAGGCTGTCAGATTTTAATTTGGTGCCAGCATCTAGTTTTATATAGAACTAACTCTGCTTCCTTTTTAATGAATCTAATTTGGTAATCCTGGAGGAATGCTGGTACAAATATAGCTGTGAATGAGATGGTTGGGATCTTATCAGAGCCTGCAAGAGTAAAAATGTCAAAGAGATTGGTGGTCAACATGTGCGCCTTCGTGAGACGGCCCCAAAATCAGATTTACTCTATGGGACCAACAACTGAAAGTATCAAATGATATTATGAATTGAATAATTTTAAAATAGAAATTGCGACGACCTCGTGCCATATCAGTTGCCGTCTCAAATCAGACGATAGATTGAATCTACTCTCATCTGAGAAGAGTGTGGTAGCTCGGTCGTCGTTGGTCCAGTTGCGATGCGGATGGCGCTTCGGTGAACTCTCGAGAGTGGGACGCAGACAACAGACCTTTGGGCGTATAGTCCTTTCTTTTGCAAACATTTTACAACAGTTTTACGAGATATCTTAGTTCCTGTGGCTGCCTGTAAACGACTTGCTGGTTCACCAGCTGTGCTGTGTGTGTTCCTTTTCGCTGAAAGAACAATATACTGATCTTCTTGGCGCATTATACTGCTAGGATGACCTGCTCTCTTGCACCTGCTGCATATTCCACTAGTTTGAAATGCTGCTCATAGCCTAGAAATGATACTGTGTATGATGTTAAATTCACAGGCAACATCTGTTATTTGCCACCCTTCCAACTTTCCGATTATTCTTCCATGAATAAAATCATCTAAATAATGCTTGAAAGACATGTTAAAATTTTCTTTCCTGTTCAAATTTCACATCCAATGAAAACTGACTATGTGCAGATTGCCTGAAATCTCTTACCTGTGCTGTCACGTCGTCAACACGTGCAGGACTCAAACATTTGCATAAGTTTTACATGACAGAGTACATTACAATTTCAAGCATTTTTCAACAGGCTACTGCTGTTCAGTTTCTAACTGTAATTGTTGAAAATAGCATCCGTCCTTAAGTTTTGTCTACCAGTGTATGTGTTACTTGTATGCATGCACAATATTTAGTAGTAACAAATTATTTGAACATTTAATATTTGATTAAAATTATCTATATTGAATCGATCACAATATAGTAATTTAAAACTTACTTCCAACATAAACCAAAAACGATGCTTAATTCAACTTTTACGTCTTTCACTAACGTTTTCGAACCTTTGGTTCTTCTTCAGGTGAAAAAATGGGCAAACCAATTTACATTCGATTGAGCTGATCTTTTTTGAAAGAATTCTGATATGGAATATCATCGAAAACCCATGCAATCGTCGTCATCATTTGCGCATGCGCCGTTGTGAGCCTAACTTTCATCTCGTCGTGTGTCATATACCAGGGTTTGCCATGCTACTGATAATGATATTTCATCTTTGCTGTTGATACAATTGTTACCCTGAGCTGCTTTGTGTGTATAAATCGCTTTCATCAAATGCAAATTGTGTGTCTGGTGCGTGGTGTATATTATCCTGGCTTGATTAAATAAAGGTTGTATCTCAGGGTCCGTGGCGTACTGTGCTAAGGCGGTTGTAGGCCTTTTGTGGAGGATGTCCGCTTTATGCTCTTTAAGCCTCACTCCTAAAGATCTCTTCGTGGAGCCAACATATATTAAGTCTTCATCACATCTACAATCCCTAATTGGGATGGTGTATACTCCAGCCAGCATGTCTTGTTTTTTCACCTGAAGAAGAACCAAAGGTTCGAAAATGTTAGTGAAAGATGTAAAAGTTGAATTAAGCACCGTTTTTGGTTTATGAAGTAAGTAAGTTTTAGAAGTTACGGTGTGTTGTGGATATAATATTGTTTAATATACTAACTTATTTATCATTTATAGTTTCTAACAGTTCTATGAGTGTATAAATTTGATAATTCGTTCAAACTGGCATGTAATGTCAATGTAAGTGATAAAGTATATAAGATACATTGTCTTTTGACAGTGAAAATGCTTTAAATGAAGTAATGAAACTTCAAAATATACAAGTAGCTTCAAATTGCACCTGAAGATGATGATATACAGTACTTATATATTTTGCAAATTTTTTATTTTATTAGAGAGGTTGAGGCACACGTATTTAGCCCAAAACGTGTACGGCTAACGAGTGAGCGCCGCCATCTGGCAGTTCTGGACCGTCGATAATGGCGTTTGCTACGTGTAGCTTGGTGAGTACACGATCGGCTTAAACGTCTTCATTTTTTTCATGTTTGGGGTTAAAATTATGATTTATTTTATTAAAATAACGATTATTTAAGCATTTATAAATAACATTGTAAAGAAACAGACGATTTTAATCCAAAAATTATTTAATTATTTAATATTTTTAATGTAATGTGAAGTGAAGTTGTTCTTTCCCGGCATCTTCTACTGTCGACGGTGTAAAACGTCCGTAAATTTTCCGATATACTTTTCCAAGCATCTTTCGGATTTTCATATGCATAGGGATTTATAGCCACTACTTCTCTTAACAGAAGTATGTCGTGAAAACAAGAAAACCGCATTTGAACTTTCCTACTGTTTCTCGGAGTTAACACGACGCTAATTATAGTAAAAAAATAATTATTTAGTGTTATTAAGCATCATATAAATACTTTTAAACTGTTTAATTTGTTTATTTACCTTTCCTGGTAATCATCCGTGCAAAATGCTTCCGTCATTTTTTTCAACTTATTTCCCGTGAGTCAATGCGCGATGTTCATTGAGTCACGTGATGTTATGAACGGGTGCCTCAACAATTTTTACTTGGATTTGAAACGTGTAACGTGTACTTCTTCTACCCGTTCATGTTTAATGTTTGAACTTGTGCCTCAACCTCTCTATTACTTAAAAATTAAACCATTTATTGTCAAAAGATAGTCTGCCTTACTTATTTTGTTTCTTAATTTGTTTATGTGTGAACTGTTAACAAAGAAAAATTGCATGAATAGTTCAATTTTTTAACTGTTTGATTTAAATTGCATATTTTAAGTTAAAATTCAGTTATAGAATATAAGACTAGTGAAAAACCTTGTGTCTTTTTTTCTTCCAATATCCGTATTAAAATCACAGACCAAGACTAAAAGAAAACAATTATTTTATTGTTTCTTTATAAGCAATGCATTTTGGATTAAATTTTCTTAATATCTCCTCAAGCTATAAATACACAAAAAATGCACCAACAAAGTTATTTGATGTATTAATTACAAATAATATAATGTACAAAACACTAACCTTCTGACATAATAGTCATTTAGGTTGTTTTACCCTCATTTCACATTTACATTTTCTTTTATACTTTAGTATTACGTCATACCGTACGGGATTAATCTCCATTCCGTTATTGTGATATGCTCTTTAAACCATCGCAAGAATACATCTTTTTCCTCCACATCAATTCCACAATCATTCTCTGCACAATGAGAGAACCGTGGAAACTGATGATATTTTAACTAAACCAAACGGCTGCTTTATGCTCCTTTGGTCTTGTTGCCAATATTCTTTTTGTTTCTCCTATATAATGCATTTTTACATTAGAAGTACAAGTGGATAAAAACTTATAAAGAAAATAGATATAAAGTTAAATTTAAAAAAACAGGATGATAAGTATATATCCTTTCCTTATATACAGAGTATAGTTTAGAAATATAAAAAATATTTTATTAACTTTGATATAGTGTTGGCTGCAAAGCTAAAGAATAAAGTGGATTATGATGTAAAGTTTTGTGATCAAATTAAATTGCAAAATATAAATTTTTCAGGTGTTGTATGTAAGTTAAATTGTACTTGAAATGAAAAAATGTATTATAGCCTATAGGAGAAACAAGATGAATATTGGCAACAAGACTGAAGGAGCATAAAGTGGCCCATTTGGTTAAAATATGTCTCCACAGTTCCCTCATTGTGAAGAGAATGATTGTAGAATTGATGTGGAGAAAAAGATGTATATTTGCAATGGTTTAAAGAGCATATTGCAATGCAATGGAGATTAATTTGTACGGTATGACATAATACCATAATACCCTGACTTATGCAAACTCGGAGTTACGCATTCTTGATTTTTTTTTTTGTTTGGCAACACTGCCACCTGCTATCTTCAATGTTTCTTTTGCTATAATATGTGTTGGACATGTTTCGTGCAAACACTATGTGCACGATTATGATTCCACAATTGACAAAAGTTAATACATCAAATAACTTTGTTAATAGAGAGGTTGAGGCGCACGTTTTAAACGTGTAAACGTGTACGTGTGACGTTTGGCGCCGCTTTCCCGTAAGCCTAAAAGTTTGACGATGGTGTTTGGAATGTCGAGCGTGATTCCACCGACTATTCAAACACCATTGTCAAACTTTTAGGCTTACGGGAAAGCGGCGCCGAACGTCACACGTACACGTTTACACGTTTAAAACGTGCTCCTCAACCTCTCTATTGTATTTTTTATGTATTTGTAGCTGGAGGAGCAATATATGAGCAATGCATTTCAGATTAAGAAAATTTAATCCGAAATGCATTGCTTATAAAGAAAGAATAAACTAGCTGTTTTATTTTAAAAGTCTTAGTCTCTGATTTAACATGGATATTGGAAGAAAAAAATGCAAGGTTTTTCACTAGTCTTGTGTTCTATAATTGAATTTTAACTTAAATTTTTATATCCATTTCATTAAAAATCTTTTTAATTGGTTTTATCAATTTTTTGAAAGGCTTTTTAAATAATTATTATATACCATATACACCTTATTCAATTTAAACGTTCCAGTGATAACCTGATGATGGCCTGTTGATCAGGTCGAAAACGTTAAGTTTAAAGTATTAAATGATTCTCCGCAATAAGGTGTATATGGCATATAATATTTAATGAGTCTGAGTGTATTTGGAATTTTAAATAAATAATGCATGTTTTAAATTTTTTATTAATATATGAGAAAGTATAAGTGTTATGGACTTGTGGGAAATCTCAAATTCTTTAAAGTATCTTACAAGAGTTAACAAAACTGATACAAGGAATACCAGAGAAGAGAATGATTAGCATAGATGAAACTGGACAGAACTTCATAGATGTAATAGAGATGAATGGAGGATCGCTCTCAATCACACAATTAATTTTACAAGAGAACAAATGTTTTTGACTGTGTTAAATGTTCATTGTCGGGCCAACTGATCTTAATGGTTCAAGTACAGCTGTTAAAACGGGGATTGCCATCGAATGTATCTTGTCCAAGTTCCATCATTTTATATATTTTGTTGTGAAATAGTAGTGAATGTGTTAAAGAATTGGCAAATAATATCACTTTTATTTAAATGTATTTTTCTCTATAGTTTTTGTTTAAACTGAAAACTTGTTCACTCTATCTGGAAAATTTTTTGATTAAATCCAATGATGTAAACTTGAACAGTCTTCATATTTTACACAACAAAAACTCAGACTGTTAAAGCTTGTGTTATAATTTACTAGCTTGTCAAATGTATTATAAAACTCACTACAAAGTTAAATATAATCTTTAATTATCATAAATAAATCTTAAAACAGGAACTGAATGAAGCATTAAGCTTTGTTTTAAATATTTACCTATAAAGATTTAAATCAATAAGAAAATAATATATTCAAGTTTTAATATGAACTTCGTTTACATTTTGTTTATAAAATAATAGTAATTTTTTACATTTATATTTTGCAGCCACTGGAATTTAAACCAGTTCCCCTCATAAGTAATGAAGAAGAAAATTATTTATTGGCACTGAAACAGGAACTGAGGGGAACGCTACGCGATTCAGGATTTTACGTTCAACCTGTCCTGGTTAAAAAAGACATCGAGAGGTATTCCGACAAATATCAACAAAAGGACATGACAGCAAATGACATCAAGTGGGGTGAGTTTATTACCTTAAATTTTCTTTTTTTTTCTAAGTGCAAGATTATTCAAAAGTAAAAGTCTGCTTGCATTTGTAGATGTTTTATCTTCAAGCGGGTTACTTTTGTACTTTTGAAAGAAATTAATTTAAGTTGAATGCTTTTAAATATAACAGAAATATCCAGCACAAATTATACTTACTAAAACTAATAAAAAAACAAACGTTTTTGACAATTTTTAAATTGTCATCTTCAGATTCTTAAATTAATTTGAGTCTTGCTGTGGTTTGTGTATTTTTGGTCATATACATCAAGCTTTATAACATAAAAATGAGTTGGAATATATAAAGGCATTATCTATCAAAGTACTTCCTTGTGATTTTAATGGCAGAATCATAAGGAAATGCTTTGATAGATTAAAAAAAAATGATGGTAAAGTGGTGTTTATATTGAGTGTGTGAGAAAACTTAACAAATAAAGGGACATTATCAGGGATGTCCCTTTATTTGTTGGGATAGAATGTAGATTATTTGGAATAGCCCTGAAATTTTGAAGTAAAACAGGGAACATGTTAAGAACAATTGAAGTGTTAAGTCAGTGTTTTTCAACCAGGGTGCCACAGCGCAACAATTGGGGTGTCACAAAGCTTAGGGCCAGTCAAATTCGGAAACACAGTTTACAAAACATTTATAACAACAAATAAAATTTACATAAACTTACGATGTTCACAAGAGCTACAAATTACAACATTTAAGATATTTACGACGTAGGTTTCACACACGCAAAATAAATTAGAGTCCAAATAGTCAATTAATCCTGAATAGGTCCGTCGAAAAGGCACTTACGACACAATCCTTGAGTAGTAATTAGTTGTATACTGTAAAGGTTGTCTCTTAACAGAGTAGGGCCAAAAGTCACACGACCTTGTAAATTACCCCCACCTGCGTTGTTTATTTGTAAACAGGAGAGAGAACAATGGGAGCATCGCTCCGTTTATTGGCCTCACGGGTGGTCGGGCGAAACACCATTTACTATATGTAAACCAGCGCTGTCCAACTTATTATAGCCCGCGGGCCATATTTTCTTCACCAAAGTTTTCGGGGGCCAAGAAGATTGATAAACCACATGACATTTGCATAGTGCTATGATTCAGTAAGCACTAATTGGTCAGCGAGTTCGATGTTGACGCTATAAAAAGGTGACAGTTCGACACACCGGATATACGTCACTCTCGTCTAAGTTCGACTTGGGAATTTTTTTGTTCAATAATAAATGTGAATTCTCCTTCCTGGAAAAAATAAGACATTCCCTGAAAATAAGACCTAGCGCATTTTTCAGAGCAAAAATTAATATAAGACACTGTCTTATTTTCGGGGAAACACGGTAGTAAAATAATTTTATCAATAATAATAATTTAGTAACAAATTTATTCATAGTAAAATGAACTCGTGGGCCGTAAAAATTATTTGGCAGGCCGTATACGGCCCGCGGGCCGCCAGTTGGACAGCGCTGATGTAAACTATTAAAGAAAAAAGTAAGAAAATGTAAAAAAGAGCGGATGCGATTGTGAGCTTGACTCGGTGAAGGATCGCCGACATCTTTATAAGCTTCAGATGGAAGGAGGGATTATTATTGGTTGGGAGTTTCCGCCAAACAAGCCCTTAAATAACGGGACAATGGAGAGAAGCAGAGAGCAGGGCAAGAAACTGGACATGGTAGTCTCCAACATTTGGACAGCCGGCAGAGCTTAGAGAGTGTGTCTCTTAGAGAATCCTCTGGGACAGATGGTGTAGAGACGGGAACGGGCCATTGTTGAGCCGACTCCAACAGGCAACTAGACCTTCCTAGAACTTAGTAATCCCAGAAGAAAAAGAGAAAAAAGGTGGGAATCGTACGTCCCGATGATTCTATCCCGACAGGGCCTTTCAGCATTTTCTTGGAAATTTACTTAAGTGTAGTTCAAGGTAACTCATTGTCAGTTCTATTTTGTTACGAGATATCTAGTAAGCAAAGAAACGATGACTAATTGCGTGTTAATGTAATGTTCTACGCTACGTATATGCACGACTTGTCACAAATTCGCCTAAACCACATTGTTTGGTCTTCACATTCCCAGTCCCAGTACCAGGCCAACCAGCAGAGAAGAACGACGTGGACACTTGTGTCTTGTATATACTTTAATTAAAAAACGTTGCATTGTACTTTGAAAAGCATATGGTTTCAATCACAAAGTAAGTGCATATTACAATATTTTCACAGTATTCAAAAGTAACGATGACAAATAAACAATTTTTTATCATTTGTTTAATTTAAATTTTTCAAATTGATATGAAAAAGATAAAAAAAAGTAATGAAATATTTATTTTATATATGCATCAAAATAGTATAAAAAACTTAACAAAAATTGTTTATCAATAAAATGATAAAAGATTTGTTATTCATTACACCTTATTTTTTCAGATATAAATTTAAAAATTGATTACATTTTTTTTATTTGATTGATCATCAACCAAAAAAGGCGGTACCTTATATTACTCTTGGGGCCAAAATAATATTTATTTATTTACTTATTTTTAGGAATGGACAAATTTCTCATTAAGAATAAACAATGTAAAGATTCTACAGATGAGTGTGAGAAAACTTTAAATCAAGATGACTGCTTGAGTGAGAATAGGAAAACCTCAAGTGGAGAAGTAACTGCTTCATCTTCACAATCTTCAAACCATGCTGTTCAAAATGCTAAGAAGGTGTGCCTATATTTAGACAGTTATTTAAATTTGGGATTCACATGGTGCGGGGTTAAGGACTTTCCAAAGCCAAAATGTGTAGTTTGTGGTGATACACTGGCTAACGAAGCAATGGTACCTAGTAAATTAAAAAGACATTTATTTAAGAAACACATACATCATTCAAACAAACCTAGATCTTATTTTGAAAGATGTTTAAATTCCAAAAAAAAAACAATCTGCAACTTTTACAGAAATGGTAAAATTATCTGATAAAGCTCAGGAAGCTAGTTATTTAGTTGCCAAAATAATTGCGAAAAATATGAAACCACATACTGAAGCAGAAAAAGTAATTTTGCCGTCCTGTATTGCTATGGTGAAAACAATGTTCAGTACTGATGCAGAAAATGAAATTAAAAGAATTCCTCTTTCTGATAATACAATCAGCAGCCGAATTACAGATATGTCAAGAGATATAGAAGAAAATGTAATTTCTGCCATTAAAAAAAGCAATATGTTTACAATTCAAGTCAATGAGTCAACAGATATAGCCAATATAATCCAACTTGTTTTCATTCGATTTATCCACAATGAAAAAATAGTGAATGAATTTTTGTGTTGTAAGGAACTTGAGAAAACTACTACAGGCCGAGATATATTTAATACAGTAAATTGCTATCTAGAAATGCAAGATTTAAGGTGGGAATCATGTATCGGAATTTGTACAGATGGTGCACCCTCCATGGTCGGTTCGATAAAGGGGTTTATTGCCTTGGTTAAAGAACATAACATTAATATTATAACAACACGTTGTTTTCTTCACCGTGAAGTCCTTATAGGAAAAACCCTAAACAGCGACTTAAAATCTGTATTGGATGCAGTAGTAAAAATGGTAAACTTCATAAAAAGCAGACCGCTTAAATTGCCTATTTGCTGCTTTGTGTGAAGAGGTTGGGGCAAAATACGTTAATCTGTTGCTGCACACAGAATCCAGATGGCTATCACATGGAAAAGTGTTAATTCGCGTATTTCAATTGAGAAAGAAATGAAGTTATTTTTTAATACGGAAGATAAAGAAGAATTCTATTGCCTGCTTGCTAGTTGTGATTGGTGCAGCAAATTAGCATACTTTGTAGACCTATTTGAAATATTGAATACGGTAAATACAAGTATGCAAGGCAAAGAAGAAAATATTCTGTCTTCAACTGACAAAATAAAGAGTTTGCAAGATAAATTAAATTTGTGGTTAAGAGAAGTAAAAGAAGGGAATGTAAGCATGTTTAAACATTTTTCATAGTAGAAAAATGTTTATACATGTTTCGAAATAATAACTCTTATTTCGGAACATATAGAAATATTACTCAATAATATAAGTCACTACTTTCCTTCTTTACATGTTGAGGATTACGATTGGATAAGAAATCCATTCATTGTGGATGTTAATAAAGTAAAGATAAATCTTGAAGAGCAAGAAGCACTAATTGATTTAAAGAATGATGGCAATTTACAACTGAAATATGAGGAATTGAATATAAATGAATTTTGGATATACATAAAACCAGAGTATCCTCAATTAGCTAAAAGGGCTCTCACAATATTATTGCAATTCTCGACTTCATATTTGTGTGAATTTGGATTTTCGGCTCTTACCTCCATCAAAAATAATAAAAGAGAATGTTTGCAAACGATCAAAGAAGAAATGAGAGTATGTCTCTCCAATATTCTGCCCAGAATTAAAAAAATTTGTGCATCATGTCAATCTCAGATCTTGCATTAATTAAAATTGTTATTACGTAAGTATTTATGCATCTTTGTGTAATTTGATATATTTGATAATAAAACTAGATTTAAAAAAACAATATCGAGACTATTATTTTACATGTAGGTATTTAGACAAAATTCAACGGACTTAAATTTTGATTTTGAACATGAAATGGTTTTTTTTTTTTTTTTTGTTGCATTAAAACACTACTTCAAACTGTCAATTTTTAAAATTTTTCTTCTCGGGGAGGGGACTTCCTCCCCAGCGTTGTGAGTAATACTCATTTTCGCAAAAAAATTCATCTGGCCCATTAGTCCCTCCCTTATTCAGATTCTAGATTCCCACCACTGGTCAAGGGTGTCACGACTTTTTATTTTTCAATCGGGTGCCACTCAATGAAAAAGGTTGAAAAACACTGTTAAGTTTTTGAAATTCAAGGGATAAAAAATTTAACAGTAAGTTAGAACTCATTACATAAATTTAAAGAATTGTTTTTATTTAGTTTTTTAATAATTGATGTATAATTTGATGGACGGCACGTGGCCAAGCAGTTAAGGTGGCAGCCTACTTCTCCGGAGGACCGGAATCCAGTCCATGCAGGTCAGACGACCCCTGGGAATTTTTCAGGGTTGTCCATCTGATTACATCTGACCCCATACCTTGCCTGGGCCCCATTGCAGGCTTGCTATAAAAAAAACCCTCTTAATGCCCACAAGGCAAAAAGTTAAAAAAATATCATTTTATGTGTTTCACATAATCGTTATTTAGTTCAAACTTGTTTCTGGAAAGTCGGCATAATTTGAAAATGTTGAATTATAAATAATAGTTTTGGCCTTATTTCTGAGTGATTTAGAATTTTGAAAATTGAATTTGCTAATTTTCTATGAATCTATAAAGTCATAGAAAACTTGTGAACTATGCATTAACAGAAAAATAGGATTCTAAAGCAAAAATCTGTTTACTCACCTATCCACTTCTGTTTTCAGGAATTTTTGAAAAAGATTTTTCCATGGAAAAAGCATTAGATTTTTATTGCCACGTACTGGAGATTGAATGCTTAACCAAAGAGATTATAATCGACTTTCTTTTAATTGCACTTTAAATATCCATTTTAGATTTTAAAAGATTTCCAAAGGAACTGAAGGATATCAAGCGTAAAAGACCTGCTGCCAAACAGCCGAAAGTATCCAAGAAACGAAAGAAAAACTTTTCTCAAGATGATATTAAAAATAAACTTGAGGTAAGCAAGCCTTTTGTAGAATTTACTATTTTATTTACAGTAGAGCGTCGTTTATCCGAATCAATTGGGGATTGGGGTTGTTTGGATAACTTATTTTTCGGATAACCGATTATGTACGAAAAAATATATTAACCCAGGGGTAGCCAACCTTTTGCATACCATGCGCCAATTTTTTGACAGACGAGTTCAAATGCGCCATATAACTCGAACACTTTTAATACAGTCTTACGTTCAATGTTAGTGGTTGATAAATAGAGATAAGAATAAATCTGCTTAGGAAAGAAAACAGAATAACTTAATCACGCAGTTGAATTAATTAATTTATGACAGTTTATTGAAGCACCAATTTACAACAGTCAACAATGATCTCCTGTACGAGAGGGTGATTGCTTCATGATGGTGTTATTGCTGCCAGAGTCTCGTTTGGTGAAGATTATTCTGCACCACAATTATTGGCAGTGAGAACGAGATCAACTTGGAATAACTTTAATCACAATAAATGTTTTCGGCCATTTACACGCCTGTAAACTGATCGGAAATAAAGATCGCAAGACTCAAAATACATGCATACATTGTAATTTACTATGTGGAGAATACTCATTTTATCTGCAAAATAGACCGTAACGAATTGTGCAACAAATGAACTTGCCAAGACAGACTATAAAAAATTTATTTTTCTATATAATATTCTTAATCGCAAAAAAGCCAAATCTGGCAATTTTGCTCAGAATTAACTGAAGCGCCACTTGTAATCATCCAATGCGCCACGTTTTGGCCACCCCTGTATTAACCTATCCCATGTTGAAATTTTTCTCCGTTGTGTCGCTTCATGTTGAATTTTTGTGTTAAGCCTAACATAAATTTTTAAAATAATAATCGTGGCTATTGTATCGTTAAAAATTATTTTTTTATTTTGTACAAACAAAATAAATATATTCAAAAATATAAAAACAAAAAAATTATACTTTAGAAGTTAATCTAGTTTGTATACTGGCACAATGAAGTGACCTTCTTTATCAACACTTGGCAAGTTTTCAGTCTTTATTCGGTTAGAAGGTCACTTCATTGTGCCAGTATACAAACATAAATAACAACACGGTTTTGATAACAACAACAGTTAATCTAGTATCAAAAATGTTTGATTCAGCACGACACACAGTCCTCAGAAAAACACCACACAAAAGTGCCAGTGCTGCCAGCTAAAACACACACACCAACAAAAAAAATATTGGAGTAGCCCAAAGATATAGCCAAAGGTTCCAGTGCCACAGCACTAACAGAAATTTAAATTTGCTGACTGGAACATTTTCGGTTAACCGGCTTTTGGATAAACGACACTCTACTGTACTTTTATATGTAAACTATATAATGTGGCAATATTCCCAAATTTCATTTTAATTAGTCAATAAAATTACTGTTTGTCATTCTGTAAAATTATACATTATTTTTATTAGTGAAATCAAAATATCAAATTCTTAGTCTTAAATCTGCTTTAAAATTAAAATGGACCCTAAAAATTATGGTAGATGCTTGATTATTCAGAATATTAAAAAAAAAATTATACAGACTACAGAAATCTTATAGAAAACTTGTGACAAATGACTGGAATATATTAAATACAGCATTCCCTTTTGTGATTTTGTATCAGTTCAAAATTATTATCATCATACAGACTGGTGGTCCACAAATATTTAGTACGTTCCACATATACAAAAAAACAAAAATAGTAGGCCTGTTACCATCATAAGTGAAGCGTGAAACATGTTTGCTTGCCAATTAATGAGTACCGTAGTTTTGGTGGCACCAATGCAGACCAAAAAAAACCTGTCTCAAAAATTCCTACATTGAGCAATTGCATGTCTCATATAAAGGTACACAAGCCTTTTTGCAGAAAGTGTTTGTTCCTCCACTTTTGTGTCAAGGATGCTTTGTTATAGAATCTGGATAGCATTCTTTGGTATAAATATTTTATACTTAATTTTTTCCATTCCAATCAAAAATATAAAATATCAAAATTTTGTTTTGTTGAGCCTTGCAATATAGAAATATTTATAGACTTTCATCTCCCAAAACCAAATTGAAAGGGGGAGAAATGCACTAAATATTGGAAATAGGACAATCTTCCGAATAAAGCAATCTTTTGTTACTTAAAATTGTAGGGGAATGGTACTTACAAGGATAGTATAATGCCATAAAACTTTCAAACCTCGGGCTGATTTTTTATTTAATAACTTTAATATTAATCATTTCACAAAGTTGGCACTTATTGCTAAATGTTTTCTATCATTATAAATTAATCTTGTTTTCAGATTATGTGGTATAGGTAATGATCTACTATGCATTGTGGTCGTAATATTGCTTCTACACTGCATAGTTGAATGTTTACTAGTATAAAATGCAGTGAAAAAAGACACCAATATTAATCATTGTAAAATGTTATATTTAGCAATTGGAAACAAACGAGAAATCCGAGACAAGTGAAGAGGAGCAAGAGGAGGCAAAAGAGGACGAAGAGGAAGGCGATAAGGACGAAGAAGAATTATACGATGAAGAAGAACAAGAGGAAGTAAGTAGTTTTGTACTTTGATGCAGTAGAATATAATAATACTTTTATTCTGAAAAAATTGAATAGTTTCTGGCATTTACCAATCGTCTTTTTCATATATATATATTAGAATCTTGTCTTTTATATGCAGGGTTTGCTATATAAAAACACTTGACATTTGTCATTTCATATTTAACATTAGAATACATATTTGAGAAATATTGATTTTATGATGCTCTGAGTGTACATGAGAATATTACACTGAATTGTAAGTGAAATTATAATACCAGCAGTGTTATGGCAAGTTGGTGAAAGTACCAAACTTACTTGTGTGGGAACCTAGCTTGAGTACAGGTTGGCTCAGATACATTACCTAGATGGAATACTACAATTTTATCAAAATTGCAATAATCTACATTGTTGAGGCAACATACAAGCAATTTTTGATGCAGTCTTGCTTTGGGAAAGTTTTTCTAGTTTCTGTTGTGACGATTGCATGTGATTATCATTGGCTGTTTATTGTGGCTGTGTGCAAACAATCTAGTATTGACTGAGGTCATGTTTTCACTTTGTCATTGACCAAGGACAATGTGATGCAAACCATCGCTGCACCCAGATCTATGAAATCTACATCTATATGCTTCATCCTCTTTGCTTCCTTTGTCAGTTAAACACACTAAAATAACTACAGATGGGTGTCATATATCGAGGGAGTCAGATGTAATGATGTTATTCATTATTAGCATTTGCAATTTTTTTATAAAACTCATCTCTACCCTTAAAAATAAGCATTTTGCCATTTTATAATAATTAAAAATATGAGATTTTGTTATAAAAACCTTTTTATAACAGATGTTAATCATAATAAAATTGTTTGTGGCACCAATATAAAAGTTAAAACTTGACCAATGGTATTTTATTAAAAAAATATATAAAAATATTTTAAAAATAAAATCTCATACCGGGAAAGTTATACAACTCATTGCTGGATTTTTTTTAATTTTTAAGTCAAAAGTTGAGTGTGGGGGCCATCAATACAGGAAATGCTTATTGAATTTCAAATTAAGGGAAGAAATAATCACGATATTAAATTATCTGAGATTTACATATTTCTGTACAATATACAAAATGCCACATAACTGATAGCTGTATTCCATTTGCTTAATAAATTATATGTATACAGAACACTATTTTTGTTAATTAATAATAAAAGTAACCCAAATGTAGTAGCCTAAACTCCTACAAATACCTCAATCTGTGTTTTGGGATTGTGAGATTGTGCTACTTGTAGCCCAATCTCACAATCCCAAAACACAGCCATATTTTATGAGATAGAAAAAATAGTCCATGAGTAAGGTGATACCCAAAAATGTAAAAGTAAAGCCATATTGCCAAGATTAGAGTTGTTCTAGGTCTATTGTTCTAATAGTATGGAGGCACTTTGATCTAAACCAGGGCTTCTTAATTAATTAATTAAACTTTTTTCATCCACGACCCCATTTATGATTGTGATTTTATTCGCGACACAAAAAAATCAATATATATTATAAAGGTAAGTGTACAATGTGCGTGTCGCTAAAACTCAAAAACGAGTCCTGGTACAATCAAGGGAGTTATATGGTAGCCCTCTATCCCCCATCCATGAAGAAAATATAAGGGCTGGAAGTTTCACCCTCTAGAAATTTCTAGAATAGTCCAGAGCATTCCACAACATTCCAGAATGTTCCGGAACATCCCGTAACATCCTAGATCATTGTGGAACATTCCAGAACACTCTCGATGCAGTGGCATCATCCGGCATTGCAGCCACACTTATGGAAGGAGAACGAACTGCCCATTTGACCCTACAACTACCGTTGAATACAGCCAAAGAACAATTTCCGGTATGTAAAATCTCAAGATGATCTGGACGGGGCGAACTTCTAAAACAAGCTAAAATTATTTTTTGGGACGAATGCACAATGGCACGTAAAAAATCACTCAAAGCCATGGACAGAACATTACAGGACTTGCGAGGAAACTCTGAAGTGATGGGAGGAGCTCTACTCATACTCTCAGGAGATTTTCGACAAACACTTCCAGTTATCCCAATTCAACACCAGCAGACGAGATCAATGCATGCTTAAAAAATCACATCTCTTGCCACACATACAAATACCACAACTAACAAAAAATATGAGAGACGAAACATCAGCACATTTTGCTCAAAAACTTTTACAAATAGGTGAAGGCACATATCCCACTGACCAGACGACCGGCCTCATTGAACTCAACAGTGATTTTTGCAACATAGCCACTACTGAAAATGAATTCATCGACCAAATTTATCCAAACATTGTTCACAACTATACCAATCTGGAGAGGCTATTTCAAAGGGCAATTTTGGCAACTAAAAATAATATTGTTGACAATATCAACTTTAATATTCAAAAGAAAATTCCCGGTGAGGAGAGAATATACAAATCAATTGACACGATGGTAAACGTTGAAGAAAGAGTGTCAACTTCCCTACAGAATTTCTAAACTGTTTGCAAGTACCAGAAATGCCATTACACTGCCTTCGCCTGAAAATTGGATTTCTGATCATACTACTAAGAAATCTGAACTCACCAAAACTATGTAATGGAACAAGGATGATCGTCAAACAGCTATCGAATAATTATTTTTTCAATCACCATAACAGTGTATTTCTATTAATAGGACTTATCACACTGGTGTATAAGATTACAGCAATACAGTCACACAGATTAAAATTGTTTTATTTACAATTACCTGTTATGGTGATTGAAAGAATAATTTGTTTAAATTAAGGACATTGATGCACATTAATTAATTACCTATCGAATAACATCGTCAAAGCCGAACTTATGACTGGAAAGGACAAAAAGTTTATCCTTTTATTCCAACTACCACACAATCTCATATCAACTCCCTGAGTGAAGCCGGGTGCCCCAGTATAAAATAAAGATATATACAAATTTTCAAAAACAATAATGGTGTACTACCACAGTTCATTCTTATGTTACAATGGAACAGAGACAACTGAATACACTGAAAAGCAAAAACACTGCACTAGTTCACACTATCAGTGTTGCTGAATCATTGTCTCCCTGCACCAGAAGTGACACAAAGCATGCCATTTTCAAACTCTCAGAAATTATTTTTAGTATTTTGCATTAAAATCTCACAACCCCAAATGGGGTTGCGACCCATAGTTTAAGAAGCCTTGGTCTAAATGAATGAGTTAACATATGCATATCACATTTCGGACAGAATTTTCACTTTGTATTTCAAACTAACCGACTTCCTGAACATGTAAATTCCTATATCTGTGGCCAGGACAGATTGAAATTCTGTTATAATCTATCAGAGTTTGAATTGATGAGAACTTCACATAAATACAATTTCAGAACTGCAATATGTGGGTGTAAAACCTAATTCATACATAGCATATTATAGTTTTGGCACATGATAATGAGTATTGGCAGATTGCATATGCAGCTTTTAACTTTTTATTCCAAAGATGTTACAGTGTATTAGTGAGGAATTGACCTAATAGGTCCCTATCTGCCCACTTTTTCCATAACCATCAAGGGTTTATTAAAAAGAAAGAACTAACAAAACATGCAATTAATGATTAATATTAATCACAAAGTCATGATTGAGAGGTAAAAATATTTTGAATGTTTTCCTGCAAGTTAATGTGCAGTTCATTAGTTGAACTTTGGATTTATTCCTCAAGAATTTAATGTGTGCTTAACTCGGTATTTTTATTTGCAGGGTACAGATTATGCGGTCAATTATTTTGACAATGGAGAAGACTATCTGGACGAAGACGACAACATGGACGACGGACCACTTTATTAAAGAAATTAGCCAAATATTGCATTTGTAAATATATCACATCATCAATATATGAAATTTTATTTAATACTGTTCCAAAGAGGAAACAGACAATTTATTATCTTCTTCCAATAAAAATATGAATTTCACGTAGACAATTGATGTAAATCATCGAGTTTGATTAAAAATGTGCCACACAATTTAATTTTTTTCTTTTTGTATATACATATATAATACATTGAAATACTTAAGTAGAAATTCTGTACAATAAATCAATGGTCCCTTATCTAGCACTCTTCCATACCACTACTATACACGATCATTTATAAAATAGTTGTAATATGTACAATTACAACACTTATAAATTACAAGGTTTAATTACAGTGTACTCATACTGTGATGTAAAACAGTCCTCTTCTTGCATAAAAATCACATTTAAAAATTAAGAATGATGCAAGTTTGAGAATACAAATTTGAAAATTAGTTATTTTATGTTAAACAAAAATTTAATGGCACATATTTAAAATTTTAGATCATGTTTTAGTGTTCTCTGAAAGATGTGATGAGAAATTAAAATATCAGTTTTAAAAAAAACTGTAAAGCACAATATAAATTTTGTTTTTGTATTGAATAAAATCTTCAAATATAAATTTGACTAGACTTTTAAAGAATTCCAAATTTACAAGTAATTAAGATTTTAACAACCAAAACTCCTGAGTTTTTTAGTATATCAGACTGAGTAAATTTTAATTTGTCCTAGAAAATTTTTTTGAAGTATTAATTTATTGCTCACATTAAAAATATATCTCGGTAAGAAAAATATTTAGCCACCATTCTGACTATGAATTTCTGTTGAATTGTTTACCTGAGGCACCAAACTTTTGTGTAACTGAATATATAGAATTACGATGATTGGCAAAATCAATGCAAAGACTACTATCACCACGATCAGTGTCTTCCACTGGAGACCGCAGTCAGCCCCGTTATACTTTGCACCCCCGCCGTCCACCAGTGGTCGGAACTGCGGAGCAGTCAGCGTGACAGCTGCCTCCTCTAACGAATCTTTATAGAGTTTTGTGGATTCCCTTATTTTGGTCAGGTCTTCATCCATTTTCTTCAGGAATGCCGCCGCTTCCGATCTCTCCTCTCCATTCAGGACTCGACCTATCCCCAAGTGGAACGTTCTTACAGATTCCCCTTCCTGTTCTGCATCAACTGTGCCATTGCTGCATCCGGCAGAGGGTAAGATCTCGGTCAAAATACTGTAACTCTTAACAGGAATTTTAATTTTCTTTAGGCCATAAAACTCTTGATTGCTGAGTAATCTATTTGCCCTTTTCAATTCTGCTACCTGTAATATAATGATAAAAAGCACATTAATAATACTAAATTTTTCATTAAATCACATACAAATAAGTAATATTTATATCTACATTCAATATTTGTACATGTCAAAACCTGAAGGAGTGAACTTAATTCAGACAATATACTATGCAAATGATCTTCCTAAAAGTGTGCCACAGATCAATGCTATCTGCAGATCATCAATTTTAAGTAACATTAATCTAGAACTTCGTCGTCTCAATCTGCAAAAGGATTTTTATAGAAAATAACTTTTAATATACATACTGGATTTAAATTATTATAGAAATGTTTGGCCTTATTAACAAATCTCATTAAATAAACATCTTCCACATAATGCCAATAAACCCCTTACCAAAACTGCTAATTTAGAATATATTCCTATTATTTTAAATGAGAAAAAGCATAACAATGTCAATCCAAAATCTCTAATTTTCAAAAATGTTGCTAAGCATCCCAAGTAACAAAACTATTGTTTTGGCATGTATACAAAATATTTAAAAAATCATTTTCTGATAGCCAAACAATTGATGATAACAAATAGTACTATTGTCTGCAGAAAATCACAGTCTACAAACGGTACCTAAAACATTACATTTGCCACTTAACATTCTTTTCAAAATGTCTACACATGATTCCGACATTCTACAAACTATTTGGAATGAAACTTGAGCTTTTTTTAATAACATGTTTGGGAAGTTTTTGGAATTTAAATGCAGGTTTTTCCTAAGTGAAAAATGCAACACTTTTTGTTTTGCCAGTCTTTGAATAAAACAAAAACTGCAAAGACAAACACACACAAAATATATATATATGTATATATAAATTAACNATATATATATTGTATATGTATATATATACATATATACAGGGTGTATCAGAATGATGTTTTAAAAATTTTGGGGATTATAGAAGATGAAATTTTGAACGCTTTGATATAAGGAACCTATAGCTGGAAATTTGAACTAAAGTATCTACAGCACTTTGCACATTTTATGCAGTTGGTATGCTGAATGAAACAGCAGAATACAGTATTTATGACAAGTTTTATTGACAAAACAGTAGAGAGCAATCAAACTGTACATCGAATCAGTGGCTGCACTATTTTAGAGTAAATGTTCAATGTGACGACCACCAACTTCGTTACATAATGTGCAACGATGAACCATGTTTTGTCTGACTCTCTGTAAGATGCCACGCTCCCCTCTGATGGTGACCTGAAGGACAACAAGCACTAAGTACACAACGTCCTGTACACAGGCTCAGTTAGACCACTGTAGTTGTGTTTACAGTCTTCCATCTGCAGCAATAACATGACGTCAATGGACGGAAGAGTAGCTACCAAAGTGAAGGGCAGTCAAGCACTTCCTACCGCCATAGACACTTTAATTCAAATTTCTGGCTATAGGTTCCTTATATCAAAATGTTCAAAATTTCATCCTCTACAATCCCCCAAATTTTTAAAACGACATTCTGATACACCTTGTATACAGTATATACTGTATATGTTACTGTTCTTTTGAAGTTTCTCCCAAGGAAGGTCAGTAAAATATAGCCAAAAACATTATAAACTAAAGAACTAAAGTGGTTAATGCAATTTTTAAGAATTTTTGGAGTGATCTCTTGGCTGTTACAATTGGTAAAAATTTTACATTATGAACATATGAAATGCCATATCTCTGATGACCATCTCCATATGATATTATACAAAATTTAATTTTTGTATTTTAATTATAATGAACTATAATAATGGTATAATAAATACTGTTTTAGTAAATAATACATTTAGTATAATCAATCTGGGAGAAAGCTAACATGTTAAATAAATGCTTCATTTAAGATTTAATAGCGAGGTTGAGGCCAAAGTTTTAAACACGAAAACGTGTACGTCGGACGTTCAGCTCCTCTTTCCTGTAAGCCTAGAAGTTTGACAATGGTGTTTGGATAGTTGGTGGAATCATGCTCGACATTCCAAACACCATTGTCAAACTTCTAGGCTTATAGGAAAGCGGCGCTGAACATCCGACGTACACATTTTCACGTTTAAAACTTCAGCCTCAACCTCACTAATATAAAAGAGAAGAAATATAACAAACTCTTAAAATGGATTTTTATACCTGTAGAATGAGAATTGAGTGATAAAATCAACAATTTTTCTGGAAAAAAATAATTTTGAAAATGTTATTTAAGTATTAGAACTACCATATTTAATTGTCTGTCAGTAACTGTTAAATTAGGTTAGTTTAGTCAACAGAATTTTGAACCTGTTTATCATATTTTACAGTTCACATTTGAATTGCAAAAGTGATGCACCTATCAAAAGTTTATGGAAGAAGATAATCTGCTTTGCCCATCTCCAACAAGAGGCATTTTTTTTTACTTTTTTGTTTAAATTAATGTGAAGGCAATATCATAGACAATATTATTTCTCCCCAATATAGCAAAAACCCTTAAAAGTAATTTCAAACAATAAGAGATATTCATATAAAATATATTTAGAAAAAACTTAAAATTCAATGTTAGGAGGTAAATATTATTCTTTTACAATTAGATTTGTGTACATGGTACTCTATGTATCGTGTAGTTTCTATATTAACAACTGATTTATAATAATGGACAAAAAAAGAAAATCTGATTTTAATATAAAGGCAAGAGAAAGGAACGTACAGACAAAATATTTTTGTTACAAGACTGGGTTATTAGGTAAATACAGTGAATAAATGATGCAAGTTTGAAAACATTGGGGAATCCTAAACAAATTCAAGCAACATCAGGTAAATCTATAAAACATGGGAGATACAATTTATTTAAAAGAAAATATATTTTAGAAATTTTTTACAAAAAAGAAAGAGAAGCAAATGCCTGTTTAAATTGGTAAAGCATAACTGATTAAAGATTGAATATTAGTGAAAACAGCAGAAATTAATAAGTTCTGTAATACGCTTCTTGTCTATTCTTGTATTCAATTTATGAGCTCTATGATGGCTTTTCTTTTCTGCTAGACTTATTACACCATCATTCAAAAACAGGACAAGCTTTAGAAAATAACTTTTTATTTCCAAAAGAATGCATTTTGGACTTTGAGTCCTTTATCAACTCTTTGTGATGTACAGAAATTAAAACACCTTAATTTGTTGCTGAGAAATATATTTGAAAAACTAACGTTTTCAACCTGATTAACAGGCCATCATCAGGTCTAAAAAACGAAAATGGAACAGATACGTTCCATGTATAGAATATAAATATTTAAATCAAAATTTAAAACAAAAATTGTTAAAAATATACAAGAGAAACGGAAGCAAATATAAAATTAACACAAAATAAAATTAAAATATACAAGAGAATATATAAAAATAACACAAAATAAACTAAAAAATAAAAAATATAATAAATCTTCCAATAAACTAATTCTAGCTTGAGTTTTCAGTGAACTTTTTAATCATGTATTTCCACGCCGACGACAGGCTCTCAGCATCTCTCGCATTTAAACATCCCTCACGTAGCCTACTCCTATATATTTCAATCTTCTCCGCCGTCATTGATAAAGTGGGGGA